AAAAAAAACAAGGACCTCCGGACTCACACACGCATGTGACCCCCACCAACATAATACTTAACCAATTAACATGGCAGAACAGCTGTGGGCGAAAGGCAGAGAGTGAACGTAACCACGCTAAATCTGCAGAACGCCCCCCAGCTCCCGCGGGTAACAGGAAACAAATGTTCTCCCCATGTTCCTCAGGAGGATCCCAGCTGTGGCTTTAACCCCGACCAGCTGCTGGAAGCGCTTCAGCCTTTCGAAAGCACCCGACTGCCTCTCATGGCGGTTCCACGCGAGAGCCCCTCTTTGGCTCAGTGTGCTGCATGAAGGCGAGTGTAATGACACGAAAACAAACGCGGGTGTGTAGGATCCCGACCCCACTCTGACGCATCTGATTTTCAGGTTGGGGTTCATAACCAGCGCTGGTGCTACTGGGGAAAGCGGGGGTCATTGTCCTAACTATAGCACCCCCTCCCCCCAATAAACACTCATCAGGTCCACGCCCACGCCAGCAGGAACAGTACCCGCCCACAGCTGAACACTTCAGCAGTCCCCGCTGACGCTGACTCAACCCGTCGATGAATCATTTGCTATAACATGTCAAAAATTCTGGAGTGCGGCTGCAAGTGGGAACTGTTCAAAATCCAGCCCCATATCCATCTCAAGCTAAAGCTAAAAGCAGAAATATCCCCAAATCGTCAAACCCGTACACACAGGGCAGGGACAGACGCCAGCAGCTGAATTCTTTTCATGGGTCACGAGGGCACGTGGCCATTCGCTGGAGCTGGACTCGACATGCTTTTCAAAATCGTGCGTGGAAATATCAGTGAGTTCTTGTGAAGGGAGAGCTTATTGTGAAAACAGCTCAGCCCGTCGGAGATTCACAGCTGTGAAAGGCAGCATTTCAAATGCCGGAAACGTATGGCCACCAACTGGAACAGCGCAAGAATCCTGTCACTTTTTACCTGCACATGCGCTTCCATTAAAAAAAAAAAAAATTGTTTGCTAGTTTGTGAGACACCACCCCCGACCACGCCTCCCCACCCCGACCAATCCCCTGCTGTTTGCCGGGTACAAACCTCGCACGACCCTCTTTCGTTGGCCTCGACCTGCTGGTTCGCTTTCTGCCTCCGGAGGTCTGACTTGATAAGTCCTGTGGGGCGAGAAACCACAGGGGCCTTGGTTAGCTGGATCGGGGCTCTCACTTTTTACTGCTACATTTGCTGTAATTTTCCTACCAGTAGATGGCAGCATTGAGCTAAACACACACACAAACATACATACACACACACACACACACATACACACTAGTTAGCTGGAGGGCAGAGCACGCAGCATTGTACTCTGATCTTAAAAGTTGTGTAATACAGATCCTAAAAAAACCGCCAAGCCTCCTAATTGATCTTCATTACATAAATGGATTCAGGCATGAAGGGTAGGCAGCTGAGCCAAAGGAGCACAGCCAGGTGAGCGAGGGAACCTCCACCTGTCAAAATTGTCCCTATGAAGAGGAAGACGCAGAGGAAGATGTTCCCGGGCAGAGTCCCAAAGTGATCAATGATCTTCCCCTGACAGACGGTGAATATGATCCCAAATATCTGGTGAATGGGGAGTGACAACATGGTCAGCACAGACACAAAGACACTATTTTTAAAAATGATGATGAAAAATGGATTTCACAAATAAGTGATATGTTGACAGCACACACACTCATTGGGGTGTGAGTGTGTCCCCGCATGACATCAGCGACATGTCCGTCCTCTGAGCCACGGGGGAGCAGGGTCCCCAGACCAGCAGGGGTGAGAGCCCTGACCTGCGCGGAGCAGTTGAGCAGCCCCGAGGAGGTGCCCTCCGACTCCGGGTACGTCAGCTCCGCGGCGAACTCGAAGCCGAGGGGCAGGTACCCGGTCATGAAGAATCTGCCGAAAGGGCCAACATCACAAAGGGCCTCCGAGAAGGGGCCACGTGTGGCAAGCAGGGTCAATTAGCACAGGAAATGGGCTACAACTGTTATAAAATTAAAATGGCAGATTGACTAGGCTTTGGGGCAGAATTGTTTTGTGGTTGATATTTTAATCATATTTGCCAGTCTGCCTAACTGCACGCTCATGGAAGTTTTACTTACACAAATATGTCCTGAGGGCAGAATGAAAAATGATTGGTTCAGAGAGATAACCAATCATATTGTAGACGAGGCGGGTCCAAGTAACTTGAGGAGATATCTGATTGGTTGGTCCCACCTCCTCTACAATCTGATTGGTTAGGTCTCTGAACCAATCATTTTTCGTTCTGCCCCAGAACATTTTTATATAAGTAAAACTTCCATGAGCTAACTGCACGTCAGAACTAATGGAAGAAACGTATGCAATATGGAAAGAACAGAATGCATAAATCAATTAGTAGATGGACTCCATCCATTTTCTGTAACCACTTATTCTATTCTAGGTCATAGAGGTCCGGTACACCCATTGCCCCCATAACATGAATCAGCGATGGCAGGTGAGGTCACGGTTCCCTCCTGATCCACCATCCTCTGCCAATCAGAATTCCACACACAAGTAGCCATGGCAGCGACTCAAACCCTGGCCCCAGAGGTGTGAGACAACAGTGCTAACCACTGCACCACTATGCGGCCCCTAGCAGATGGACTGTTGCAATTAAAATAATCCAGTAAAATGAACAATCAACTTTCCTTTGGCAAAATAAAAGTCCCAGATGCATTTCTCTCAGAGCCAAAAAGCATTTCCCAGAAGCTTTCCGGCAAACACGTTAGCAATGTCGTATCAATGTAACTTGGAATCATGGCAGAATCTGAATCACATGACACATTACCCAAGCGTCCCGGCCGTGATGAAGACCACCCAGAGATGGCCGAGGGTAAAAGTAAAAGCGTAGACCAGCATCCCCACGAGGGACAGAAGGTAGACAGCCAGGGTGGTCTGCCTGGGCGGAGAGAGAGAGAGGGCAGACTGTCGTCAGCACACACACTTCCCTCCTTCTCAATCATGCTTTCCACAAAGAATGACCGGAAACAAGACAACAATGACACAGCGGTGGACAGCTTTCTAGAAGCTAAAAAAAGCATGCCTTCTCTTTAAGGTGACCCCCCCCCCCCCCCCCCAGTCACAGGGATGTGTCCAATTCAGTCCCCTGATTTGCCGGAGGTTGACAGGAGATAATAGGGAGACACAGGGTATAACACACATGAACCTCGATTAATAATCCACTTAGGAAAACAAGGCCTGGCTTTTAATATCATCTGAAACTTTTTCAAAACATCCGTTTCATTCTTGGGCATCCCTGAGAGGTAACGCAGCAGGGATGCCTGCACAGCACTGAGGCGAAGGCATCCTGGACAACACTCATTCACAGCTGCTCATATTCACCCCCACACAGTAGGCTTACGTTCACCCATGGAAGGCGATAACAACAGCAATACCATCTATCAATACAATGAGCTCATAATTAGCCGTGACCGAGCTGACCATTTTTAAGCAATCTGCACCTAGTATATTAAAGTGTATTAAAATCATAATAAATCACAGTAATTCAAATTGCCACTCATCAAGTCTAACGGTGATTATTATATATAATGTATGCACGTAAAGTAAAACTTTATTTGGAAGGTCGATAAGAATCAAATTTTGACATCCAAGTATGCTGGGTGATGTTGATAAGATACCTGTTAGTCCTCCCAAAAGTTGAAATCAGGTTATTTTTTATTACCCTGAGAAAAAATCCCCACCTAAGCCATCGCTGCAGGAGATACTGCGGCGTGACAGTGCAGTGGGGCTGCCCTGCTGTTCCAGAGACAGAGCCCTGCCGAGCCAAATGTCCCTTAATCCATCACTCAGACCACCGCACACCAGCTACTGGGGGAGGGTTTAGCCGAGGGGACATGTGGATAAAGGCTGTCAGCTCTGATCTGCCGGGAGACACATCCACAGTGGGGACCCCCCCTCCCCCTCAACTTGAGCACCTCTGCGGTGGGACACTTTGCGAGACGGGGTCCAAGCCTCTCAACATGCGCCCGGAACAATTAACCTGATCAGGAAAGAATAATAATCTATTAAGATGGACTATCTAATACCTTCGTTCCCTCAGAAATGTGTTCCACAGTCGGGATTCAAGGACTTGCTTCAGTGAACCCAGGTAAGGTCACCGATGAACATTATGGCCTGTTTGCCTCTTATGTTTATGAGTGCTGCCTGTGCATTTGAATCTGTTCTATGAACTTGCTGCTATTTGGTCTCACTGAGGACAGAATTTTCCTCACTGGAGATAATATTTAGCTATCTAGCAGAACCCCTGTAACTGTAACAACATTGACTGCTCAGATGGTTTATGCGAACTACACCTGCACAAACAGTCGGCACCCAACATCGGAACAACATGTATTGTGTGGTTTTGTCCTGCAACTACGATGTTGTTGATATTATCGTTGCTTTTGTTTTGGATTTTTTTCATATCTTGCGCCAAACATCTGGTCCCGCTGTGGTACTCAATATACCCACTGGGGGCAGCAGTCGACAGACGGGAAATAATCGTACGACTTAAATTATGCAATCAGATACACCGAGTGATTTGTCAGTCTAAGCTGCCTGGGAATTTGGCAGTGTTCCTCACAGCCGACATTGGCCGCTCACTGCTGGAGTCTACAGTTGGGGGCGCCTTTACTCACTTGTAGGTTTTTGTCTTATCAAGCCACAAACCGCAGATGAGGGAGCCAAACATGCCAGCAATGACAATGGTGAGTCCGATCCTCCCTGCGTTCACCTCCTCCCCCTATCAGAGGAGAGACAGAAGTGTTAGCACAACGTCACCACGGCCACCGACAGCCACACACAAGACCCTTAGTTTACTGTCCTAGGCCGGGCACAGAATTCAGTTTCATAAAAGGGGCCATCGATCCGCTGTCATAGCTATGGTTCTGGCTGTGTGTGGCAGGGTTGAGAGAGGGAGATTCTGGAGCAGAAAAGACATACCCTTCAAGTCTTGTTATTTTATGGGCCATTTTTTTAACGGCACCAATTCTAAACAACACAAGGCAGCTGGGGAAGAAGGTCATTGTTTGGGGTTGGACTGGAGAGAATGTTTATCAGCCTTTCGCACACAGCTCAGCGATGTCCTCGTAGGTCCGAATGAAGCCGCTTCGTGAAGTGATAAGGCCGAGGGCTGGTTGGGAAGCTAGGGCAAGCTATCAACATGAGTCAGGCAATTTGATGCTTTGAACTCCAGTCTCCAGACAGGGGAAAACTATCCAACAGTCCCATCAGCCAGAAGCTATCACTGCAGTAGACATGACAAGCGACCAGAGGCACAGATAATGGCGGGGATAACAGTTACCTCAGCCACCAGGCGCTGCAGGTGTTAGCAGGAAAGTCCAGGAAAACCATAAGCCGACAACTTTACGCTATATATAGTGAAGATGACCAGAAGGGGGCGACTGTCATTCAGAATTGCTAATGGTTAAGTGCTAATGAAACGGGGTAGCCATCTTGGTGCTGGGCACAGGGACAGAAGACAACTTACAGGGTAGTGCTCAAGGATCATTTGATTCAGCAGCGTGGAGACGGCGTAGAAACACCCCACATTCAGTCCTGCCGGGGGAGACAAAGTGACATGTCAGAGGTAGCAGACATTCGCGACAAGCACCAGGGGAGACCTGTGCAGGCAGGGGCCGACCCCAAAATAGAGCCCGAAGAATCACCCAGAACTCGACCCCGTCGACCATTTTCCAGTGTCTGTGGTAAAATACATAAACAGTACAGCCAACATCTGGAGCCGGTGTTTGTCTGGGAATCGCTTTGTGCCCTGGAAAAAGACTTGGCCTACAGTCAAACTCAGCACGCCAGAGCAAGGATGTATGGCAGTGACATCACAGGCTTCCAGATTCACGTTGGTTTCACTGTGAACTCTCTGGGGGGGTTCAAACAGTCATAACAAGGGCGGAGAAGGAAACGGATGGGGAAAAAATAGTTAAATAGTTAAATTAGATAAATATCTGTGGTGATGAGTGAAAAGTATCAACCACCAATTGTCTTATGAGAAGACATGCAGTTGATTGAGAAAAGCTGAAAAGAGAAGCTTCAGCATCCGTTCAATTTGAATTTATGACGCCAGAAAGTCAGGAGTGAACAAAAAAAAATGATATCTAGTACAAAATCAGATTTTCACTGAAAACATCCTGTCGAAGTTGATCTGAAAGAGCTGACAATCAACTGGAACAATTAAAAAAAATATTATGTCCCCTGAAAGTCCCAACCATTGACTCGTCTGAGTGACCTTTAGGGCCGGGTCTGATAACGCAGCCGGATATTGACCCTTCATGGAATTTGACTCCTCATCTCATTGGCGTGTATTTCACCGTCACAGTCTTACACATGGGGCACCTGAAAACAATTTTACGGTCAGCATATGGAAGAGCGTGAGAGACGCTCTGGGACGTCAGCACAGCACTGCTACATCCAGCTTCTCAGCATGAACCCTGATGTGGCCAAAAAGGGCCAAAGCAACAGGATTCTGGTACTTTCTCTCGCGTGTTAGCACCTTAGCCTTTTAGCTCACCCATAGCATATAGCAAACTGTTCAACAGAACCTTTCCATTACATACCACCCCCTCAAAAACCACACTGGGTATTACCATGAGTTAAAATCTCTGTATCCACATGGTGTTTGCTAAAGGTATTGTTTCATTGGTTCTCCAGTCCTCTGACTGAAGGTGTAGTGGGTGTTAATGAAGACGTGTAGTGAGAATCAGTAGTTTTCACTGTGTCTCTATTAACCTTTGCATGTGTTTTACTGTGGGGATTCACAGGCCTTTCATCCTGGCAGCCACAGCCTCATTGCAAGGCTAACTGCAACTAGCTAAACCGCAACAGGCCCAGGGAGAGGAAGACCCACCATAGGTGACGATGAGGAGGATGAATGGTCTGTTGCGCAGTAGCCTCAGGATGGATGTCGCATATGAGTAGTTCTCCGGCGGGATGCTGCGGGCGATGACCTGGGCCTGGGAAGGTGGGATATCCGGCTTTTCCTGGAACACTGTGTTTTTCAGAACCAGCAGAGTGAGTTCCTTAGAGCCAATATCAAGCGGCATCTGCACTGCATCAAAGAAAAAATTATCTCTGACCGTCAACGCAACTAGGGTGACCACACGTCCTCTTTGTCCCAGACTTGGTCTCTTTTTTAGACCTAAAAAGGCCTGAAATGTCACGGATCTCGATTTGCTTCATGCTGGCATTTGCTTTCTACAGTCAGACTGCTTCCTGTGTGCATATCTGCGTTGCTTTGACTCCCCTCCTAACATCCTGCCCCTGGTGTCCTTTTGTTTGCAAAGTGAAGTAAGATCACCTTACATGCTACAGACTGGCGGCCTGGGTCTTCGCAGGCCTGTGTCCTGCAAGTTTTACAGTTCAGTTAGGGTTGATTTACACATGAAACATGGAGCGAGGCGCCTTGAAGTAGATCCTGCGACTTTTGAGAAGGAAATCTGCGCAGCTCAGAGTGCTACGTTAATCTATTGAGACAAACATGTCTTCTAAGCAAATACTCAATACATAAAAATGAAAGCAACCAGAGCAAAGAGGCATATTCCTCAGGTCCCTCTAACTCTCAGGACCGTGTCCCAGAGGCCTGGAAAATGGGGGCAAGTGCTGAGAATGGCTGTCCCTCACTTTATTAGATAACAATCTGTCCTTCTCCACCCTTTTCCCTCACAATCTTGGGCCAACAGGGGAGGCCAGCCATGTCACAGTACAATGTAGTTCTGGCAGCATCCTGGACCTGCGGGTCACCTGGATGGTTGCGGTACACAATATGCATCATGAATCATACAACTGGCAGCCTGCCGTGAGTCACAACTCCCCTGGATGGTGCCCTTATCATTTTAGAATGTTTTATAATGTTTATACTTTATCCACCAAAGACCAAACAGCACTATTGAAAGTGAAAGCTGCTTTTAATTCCGCTGCCATTATTCAGTTATAAGCTTTTCGTTGTCTGACCGATCAGCTCCCACATTAAAGAATCTTCCCCAAAATTATAAACGTAGAACCGATTCCAGGAGCCAGAGGTATTGTTTTGCAGTCCAAACCAGTGCTTCTGTCACTGTGGAAGTGACTCACGTGGAACTGGCTGTCACATAACCACCAACACTCTTTCACATGTACATCACATTGAACTTTATCTGACTTCTGGGAGCCTCTTGATCCTGGACCTTGGATGGCAACCCTTCCAGCGTGGACAAATACCAGCGACGTGGAGCAGCAGCGAGAGCGATGAGATCAGACAAACCTACAGCCAGCAAGGCTGGAAACTGTGGCCTTTAAGTCCCAGCTAACAAGACAATGAGCGGTTTAGTTTGCACCGTAATGCTAATCTACGGGAAACAAAAATAACGGCACAAATCTTGGCAGAAACCAAACATGTACCCTTTGGATGATGCATAAGGACCAAAAGCGTGACTACAACCCAACACAAGTGTGAGAACATCAGCTTTTTCCAGGATTAAAACAAGGACGAGGATGGCAAATGACCAGTTCTCGCTTTCGGTCTCAAGGTACATCTGTTCCCAAATTATAGTGTTTACCTTCCTTGAGAAACCCCGTTCTTCGAAGGGTTGAGTGAGAAAGCTTAGACTGGCCCTGAAACAGGGTCCGGAAGATATGGCTCGCTTGCCATCATGATTTGCGCAACAAACCTTCCTTTATGTAGCGCAAGCAAAGCCATGAACGTAGCTTAAATCTCATGCCAACATCTGAAAAGGGGCCGACGGTCCAAAAAACAAATCTGCAATGACTCCTAAAACAATCCGTCCACCCAGCCGTGTTCCAAGGGCTTATCCAATAAAGGGTGACGGGAAGGCCTGGAGCGAACCCACGCGGCGTGGGGGCAGAGGGCTGGGGTGCCAGTGCATGCAGGGCAGACACAGGGTGGAAGGATGCCAGTACACACACTAACGCTTTTAGAGATGCCAATTAGCCAAATGTGTCGCATGTCTTTGGATGGCAGAAAAAAACTACTAAACTACTAAACTACTAAAAAAAAGTAACACTTTACTGATGGCCATTCATAATGCATAATACACACGGCTATAATGTATTATGCCTTTTGATGAATATTTATACCCATGTTTATAATACTTTATGAATGTATTACAAGGAATTATGAATGTGTTTATGAATTACTAAAAACAATGTGTTACCAAAAACTCATGCAACGTGGGGGCCCACTAAAACTCCTCAATGTGCTAGCCGCTTAGCCCCCAGGCCCCCTAAAGCGTCAAAACTGGGGGCGTGGTCTGAGGTCCGTGGTCTGAGTAGTTGGGGAAACCCCTCCAGGGATCAGAAATACCTGCTTTCAGAAGTCATCCTTGCTGGGCTTTACCAATATAACATAGCTGAGCTTTCAGAGTAAAATCAAGAGAACCAACAAAACGATGGCAGCATCTCGCATTTGAGACAAAAAAAAAAAGCTGTTAAACTCCAGCTGTAAATTATCGCACCCCCCACCCCCCTCTGGTACTTTCTAGGATTACACGGCCTTCTGTGAAAAAGCCGACCGCAGATCTACATGTGCTCCATCTGCAATCACGTCCATGGAGGTCTTTTCAAAAGCCCGTCAATTACAGCAATTAGACCGCCGCCTTCTCAGCTGAGAGAGCAGCAGGGCAGCGGGGGTGACACGCTACACAGCGCACACGTTTCAGGCTGGCCAGCCCTCTTTACGGAGGTCACATGACCGGAATGGAAGCCAAGCGCCAGGGAACAGTAAATTTCACTTACGTGGTATTATAATTTAAACAAGCACCTTGTTTTACAAAAAGAACTATGGATGTTATATGGATTCATGTATTCAAATTAGTATGCTATCATTCTTATGTTTAGAAGAACTCCAGGCAAACCAAATATCACTGTTCTTCAGTTGTTCTCTATGGCTGGTTACGCCGAACATTCCTGATAAACACTTCCACATGATAGTGGGCTCACTGTCCTACTACAGCAGTGTTCCCCAATCCGGTTCTCGGGAGCCCACAGACAATTCACATTTTTGCTCTCTCCCAGCTCCCAAGCAAAAACACACGCTCTCTGCCGGGGACCTTGGAGAGCACAGGAACATGGACTGACTGTGGGTCCCCAAGGACTGGACTGGGAAACACTGTGCTACAGCACAGGTTCTTTATCTGTTTGCTGTCTCTGAACTTCTTAAAATCATTCAACATTCAGGTGACAATGAGATAGAAATCAGATATTTTATTCCATGTATGAAGCTGTTTTCTTTCAACTTTCTGGCTTTCTGCATCTGTATTTCTAGCAGTAAAAAGACTCACCAAGTCTCTCTGTGTTATAATGCTCTTTGAGTTGCAGAGTAAAATCTTTAAAAAGTTAATCCAGATTAGAATTTTTGACAGGTTTTAGCATTGTGGAATGTGAAATAGGGGCACGACAAAGTCTGATTGTTCTTGTAGGACTGTATGATTACATAGGTCTGCGCTTTGTATTTTACAACCAAAATGATCCCTTTAATGTGATTTTTCCAATGATGCACCAAGAAACTGAGATGTAAACAGACAGAGCGGGACACAATGTGGCAGATCACTGAGGAAGAGTGGGGTCTTACCAAAGATGACGAGGATGAAGAGCAGGGTTGCTACCCCCGCGGTGATGTAGAACATGATGCTGATGTGGTGAGCCAACTGGTCCAGGTCGTCCACGTTAGGTACCAGAACGGGTGGAACCAGGAACCCCAGCGCAACACCCAGCTGTGGGACATTCGCAGCAGGACACCCTCTTAACGGCAAGTTTACACCTCATGTTAAGCCAAGAGCAACGTTTGATGCTAGTCAGCAAAAATTTGATTTGGACAAAATCTCATAAACACATCAAGTCCACCATAGTCAGGAGCTGTTACATCGTTTCCATTTTAGTGGGCTGAAAAGTGAATAATGACGACTGCTGTCAATAAGGGGACCTTCCTTTCTAAAAATGTAGCTGTTTGCGTGACAGTGGAGACTCCGTTTTCGCTTGCCTATCAGCCTTAGAAATATTTCCTACCACAGTAGTAAAAAATAGCTCACCAAGAATATTCTGAAAGTTCCTGCTTGAGCAAAGTGCACAGACCACCTGTCCATACCTACCTGTGAAGTGCTCCGGCTGCATTACAAAGCAAACTCCAGGCCTCCATTCAGAGGATTGGGGCCGGAAATGTACCCAAGCACTTGAGTGTAGAGACTCTCCTTATTGGCTAACCTCTAGCAACCACTTAAAGCCCATGTTTTGATCCTGATAATTGTAAATTTCCTAATATGAATCCTGGTGAAAAAGATAAGACAAAACTTCTGATCTTTTAGTTGATCAGATACATTTATCAGGTGTGATTCAATCCAGCACACAAAGCACACAAAGTTAGGACCATCCCTAATCTTGCTCTTGTGCAATAGTTCTTAATCCCCCCCCCCCCCAGATTGTTTTCATTCCAACCCACGCTGCTTTCAACCTGCCACATTCATTAATAGCATATTAAGGACCATATAAGCCTGATTAAAGTAGAGTTGGAATGAGAACATTCTGTCAACGGGCTACTCTATTCTTCAACTGGCCTGGTTCTCCTCAGAAGAATCTAAATGATCATCACAAGATGTGAAGACCCCCTTAGTAACATGGCAGCCCTGGGGAGAGCCCCCAGGACTCACAGAAGCCCCAAGGCCCTGCGCATTGCAGAATGATGCATACAGGAACCGTTGGTATTTCCTCATTTGCTGACACAGCTTCGTGCTTCACACAGTGCCAGAAAACCACAATGGCATCTCCTGGGGCTGGGAAGCGGCTGACAGACTCCCTACGAGCAAGATCCAAGGCGACACCGAGGATTACATGTGCTGTGACCATCCACGTGTAGCGCACAGCGGCAGAGAATCTGTATAAGGATTTCAAGACGAGAAAGGCATGGCCAGAATACTTATTTAGCTTTACTGACTCACTGGCTTAACAAGTTAATTTTGGCCTTGGAGAGCACAGGGATAATTTTTCTATCAAACGCTCATTTTAAGGATTTTTAGAACGTCAATGAATTTTAGGTGAATTTTTGCATTACCGTCAATGTTAACGTCAATAGTAACATTTGCAGAAGTTGCACCTTGATGGTACCTTGAGCTCATGCCCATACCTACCATAGAGGACACCAAGGTCAAGTCCTCAGTATTTTTTCTGCACCTCCAATGACCACGATCCATTCTGGGGCCCACCTAGGAAGGGCTCATGCTTTTGACGTTTTTTTAAATCCTGGCTACTGCTCTGCTTGAGTTAATTTTTAACTTCACACACAATTTATTGTCACACACTTGATAAGTGGTCAAAGACCACTTTGCCAGAGCTCAGCTGAGACAGGAAAACATGAGCAGACTTAGTCTACGACTGAGTCCACCTCACGTGCTGACTGCCCTTTGCTTGTGCTTTCCGTCATTAGTGTACCATGTGACAGACAGCCTTGTCCATCGTCAGCCTTTCCTTTGGGATGTGCCCAAGGGGGCAGAAAACACTGCACCACAGCGATAAAGAAGCTAGTTATGCACTCGCTTCTCACTCATCCAGCAAAACTGCAACAAATCCTCGCAAGCAAAACATCCATTATGTAATTGTACCTGCCTAATATTGTTAATCATGCCTTCATTTATAAATCAGCCTCTCATTAACCCTTTTGCCAAATTGGCATCAATCTTTACTCTCACGTGTGCAGTTCTGAAAGCAACCCTCAGATCAACATCACATAAAAACATCCAATCCGATTTAGCCTCAATTCCCCAAGCATTAACGTGAGTAACACAAACACATAGGAGAATCTGCCGTCCGAATTTATATTCAGATATAATTTTAGTCAATGGGCTAATTCTACCGCTTCCTTAGTTGTATGTATGCCTGAAGCTGCTTGTCCTGATTGTGAGAATGTGTCATTTAGAGTCATGACACGTGACTCACAGTCCTCAGAAATATTGGTTTTCTCTGAGTATCCTGGGCCCAGATATCTTCATATGAGAGATCACCACTAACCATCACATTGTTGCGTTGCTTACTAGAGTAGTACCTAAAGCTCTGGAAAATCCACTTTTACACTGAAAACCATAACCTTCTGTAGGCTTTCTGACAAACCAGAGCTGTCTGTGTTCTGAGCGAGCCTTGTCTTTTAATGGGAAGCCCATTTCTCATCAGCCCCGATGAGTGTACGACGATGACTCATGCTCCTACACGATGAAGTCACACAGCTGAAGCCCATATAATGATCACAGAGAGGCACCAAATGGACATTCCCAGTACAAGATACCAGAAGATGCTCTTCAAGCACTGGAGGCAAATTCCCTTCCAGATACTCCACACATCTGGGAAGGATGTACCCATTCAGGGATTTAAAAAAGCGACCCTTGGACAACAGGACCAGCATGACCCAAGGACCCTATAGTACAGGTTGGTCTTGGAAAGTACACCGAGGCTCAGCGGGCATGGAGTTTATCTGGCTGTCATTGTCCATTCCCACCATATGAGCACATCCAGCAGGGCAGCAAACCCATCGTTATGCCATCATCATCACGATACTCATGCCAGTCGGAGCTTTCGGAGGATAGGCAGATTTTCTCCCAAGGCGGGAATCGCAGGAAGCCACTTCCTGGCACTCTCTCAGATTCCTGTTGTCCGCTTTGTGCGGTTGTGTGTGATCATGCTGATTAGGGCCTGCGCTGTTCTCAGGGTTGCAGTCACACATGACAAATTCCTTCATACATATTCCATGCTTCTCCAAACTGACACACAAGTGGATCTGACACAGGGCTAAGGAGAACACCCCCCCCCCCCCCTCCCGACATGTGTTACATAATAACAAGATGTAGCAGGAAATGGTTTTCAAATGTAAAATACCAATAAGACGGCATCACCGTCAACGTGGCCTGATCTTCAGTGCTTCTCTAATGGTGTTATCCAGGCTATCCCAGTCCGTCTCCTGAACTCCCTTACATTTCCATCAGCCTGGTCATACTCAGTACTGTCAAGCTGCTGTACCAGCTCTGATAAGTGCTGATGCCTTCTTAATGTTTGTGTTTTCTGAACAGAGACCGAGTTTGCTTGCAGTTTTCTTGAGAAATGGTGTAAAAATAAACTTAGCGCACGTCCCCCTTATAAGACTCGCGCTTGTCTGGAGTTTCAAAAATGTTTTCATTTTATTGTGAATGGAGATAGAATTGACTTGGCTGTGTAGATGCTGTTTTTTTCTCTTTTCTCTTAGCAATTTATTCTCAAAGAATCGTTGACTTTTTTCCAGAACCAGTATGTCTTTTCAACCAGACAATACAAAATAAGCGGCTCCAATGCTTGTAAATCCTTAAGGCAAAGAGTTAGCTGATATTAACTTTCCGGCTACTTGATCACACCATACGATGTCGACTACATCAAGGCACCAACTATGGTTGTCATAACGGCGCAGCTTGGCAATAATTGAGTTTAGAGGCTGCAGAAGATAAAAACACTTTTCAAGTAAATTGTGTGTGCATGTGTAAGAGTGAGAGAATGGGCGTGTGTGCATAGACAATACGCAATATGCACGGGATGTGTAAATACCTCGAATCTTACATCATCAAAGAGTACAGAGAAGAAACAAAATCTACTTTCCATTTAAGTCAAATATTTCGGGAATAAGTGGCAAGAGCTTATCACACGCAGATCTGACCAACGACGATTAAGTCCGCGATTCCTGCATCGTCAGATACATGTTTATGAAACACAATATGATTAGAAAATATTAGCAAACGGTTTTCTTAAGGGAATTTAAATTTGGACAACCTATGACGTCTATGGTTGTGGACTTTTCCGACAGGTTCTTCAGCATATTCTATTCTATTCTATTCTATTCTATTATTCTATTCATTTTGTACACGCTTCGTCCCCTAATCGAAAGACGAAACTTGTGCGCTTTAACAGGCTGTAAAGCAGGGTTCTTCAACTCTGGACCTCGATCCAAATCCAGGCTGTGTTTCCAGTTCCCCCAGGTAGTTGTTTAATAATTACTGATTCTGATTGGTCAGAGGCTTCACACCTGACTGACAGGTAAAGGAAGGCTGGAAAACCAGCAGTGCGCGGACCTCGAGGACCGTGATTTGAATAACCCTGCTGTAAAGGATCAACCTACACGACGTTTTATGTAGCATCAAACCAAAATCAGAATGATAAAATCACTCGAGTGACGCAAAAATGTGACAGACGCTGAAAGCCTACATATCTTACCACTTTATAACTAAATATATAGGCCTAACCAATTCAAGTGGTCATTCTCCAGCTATGTCTTATCTCTCACCTAAAATGAAATCTTAGAACTACACGTAAAAGAAAAATAAAGTATGATACATATTCTTCCCCACAAAAATCCCAATTGTGTGTTGAAGCGTAGTAACTTGCAACTTTGTTTTTGATTAATAGTTTAACATCATACGTCTTACTGGACGTTATACAGCCAATGTTTATATGAGTGTATGTGTGTCTATGTACGTGCGTGTGTCACGTCAGGCTTTTTGGAGCATCTGACTACATGACAGATCGTGACGCAACGCATCTCCAGGTGCCTTTCTTTGCACCTTACCTGGTTGCCAAATACTCCGATGGCGCAGGCTGTAGAAACCTCTTTGGAGCCAAACCACACCGAGGCGATCCGGGACGGCATTCCAAGGATGAATACTTGAGCAAATGAGCAGGTGAACTGTCCGAAAATCGTTACAACAAACAGATCTGGCCTGACGCTCGTCACCTTGATCCATGTTCCCACGCAGTTTATACCGCTTGCCAAGAGCGAAATAACACGAAGACCCTTTTTGTCTAACAACCAGGTGACGGGGAATATGAATGGGATGTACGTTAACATGTAGATCATAGACAACCAGTCTATGGTGAAAGAATCCTTATTGTAAAACTTCATAAAGATATTGTTGATGATTCCATACTGGATCCATTGGAATGCGTTGCAGAGGGAATATGAGCTGAACAGAAAAACTATTACCCATCGCCTCCTGTATAACCAAATGGTCGGCTTTGCGTTCTTGTCGTCTTTCAAAACTTGGTTTAATTCCACTCGTACTTCTGTCTCTTCGGACTTCACCCTCTTCACTTTTCCCACAGCAGAAACGGTCTTACATTTCTTGAACTCGCCGGTAGCGTTATCGCCCATATTAAATGTAACGTTTGACTATTTAAGCATGCAAGCAAAATCCCCGACAAATTCTTTGCAATTAACGGTATGTTGCATCTACAGTGTCATAGTATTCTGCAAAAGGCACATTAATACATGCTTAGTCAGATGTTTATTTAACATATTATGTATCCTAATTACATTACGATCTATATTACACAATTAACTCCATAATTTATAATTCAATCGGTGAAATACTGTACCTAGTTATTATCGAAAATATTCGCACATAAATTATATTTTCCTCCAGGGATAACAAGAAGTAAACTGAATATAGTAAAGATGAGTATCGAAAAAAATAACTAAGCCATTATTCCCATGTCACGTATAGTACCTTTACCTATGAGAAATGCCATAGTTGCGTTTTTGGTCCAGTTATGGACAGACGCATTTAAACACCACCCCCCCCCCCCCCCCCCCCAACCCGCACACATCCCAAGTGCATAATTGGTTTTCGCTACACAATTCGTCCAAAGTTCGTTTATCCCCCCATTTGTCTTTTGTGATCATGTGATGTTCACACTCCACCCTTTGAACTTTAACCAATGGCTGTTAAATTGCTATTCTTCCTATTGACAGGACCCAAAATTAAGTACCGAATTGGGAGTTTCTTGGTGATCGGAGAGTAGTGGAAGTGTCGAGTTCCGGAAAATGAACATTAAAGAAATATGAAACTATACCAGTAAATAGGTGAAAATGCAATGGTTCAATTAATATAATATAATTCATGAGTTACGTTCTGTATTTCACCTAGATACATGCTTTTTATTTTCAGACCAAACTGTGATCGCCTGTACCAGCAAATAAAATGTTTTTAAATGTCAGTTATTGAGATAGGCTATTAAATGTAGATAACCACGTGATTATACTTAAAAGTTAAACATGCAGTTGTTCATCATTAATTTCACATTGCCATGTTGCATCAGTTTTTTACGCTACTAAAGCAACAAAGCTACAAAGCAATTCTGAGATTACATTCCTTTCCTGTTTTACACTAAATAAGCCCTTTGTTACTATAACCTGCTTAGTATCTTAATCGCCTTAACTTAAGAGGAATTGGTCAAAGGCTTTAAATATCGGCACAATGTTTTGCAGGAATCTTGCCGAGTATAGCAGAAAAAATCTGACAGGTCTGAAATCCTTCAAGCGAAGCGAGATAAAAAAAATTGTAGCCTTCTGCAAATAATAAGTTTCCTGTATATGTACAATGTTTTTAAAAACGCCATGGTTTTTTCAAAGAGTGTTCGCTTGCATAACGTCGCTACATATCAGAAGGGCAGTCACAAGAAAACACACTGAAGGTTGTTTTTTAATATTTAATTTTAAGAAAAATAAAAGCGCATAGGAATGTATTACATATCTGTTATATTCACAATACTGAATATACTATGTAATGGCACATTAATAATAAAATACATTCATATATTCGTGAACAAAACAACAAATACCGTGCTTTCAAAGCGGATAAATAGCGCCCTCTACTGTAAGCACAATAATTGTTCCTTACCATGTTGACGAGCAGCTGTCAGTGAAACATAATAAGCAACAAAACATCAAAGAATCACGGGTACTTCGTCGGTTTAATGTGGTAGAAGAATATATTCAAGAAAGCAGACATAAAGACATAAACGTGCCCGCGAAGATTTCGCAACATTTAAATCCAACAGCGCTATTAGGATTCATTAGACTGTTACGCTTTCCGCCTATAAAAAATTAATAAGAAAAATTCCCCGAAACAGAATTCAGACGAAGGTGTTTTCTCCATAAACCGTCTTCCTAAAACACAGTGTGATCTTTTGCTGTCTTCACTTCTTTGCATAACCAAAAGCACAAATTAATCACCAGATGTTCAGCGGTTTCTGTGAGATGGATGTGATTACCATTGCCACGCACGTCGATGCTGCGACAGAAAACGAATATCTATATACCATGTGCACCAAGCAAACATACGATCATCAACATTACATTACAGTATTGGAAGCAGGGCTGGAGGCACATTGACAGGCAGTGACACAGGTAATCGAAAACAGAATAAGCCAGTGAATATCCCGCGAATCTCCACATAAAAGCCACAAGTTCACACTAGGTTTTCATGACTAGGCTTTCAAGTTCATTTTATCATAGAGCCCCATGCTGGTGAATTCAAAGGACTACATGATTATAACGTCATTTATTCATTTATACTTGTAATATTAACAAAACTGGGAATATTAAGCGTGATGTTTTGTTTCTGAATAGCCTACTAATATTCCATTCAGGAAAAGGGAAACTACGAAGTAATCTCGTAAAACGCGTTTAATATACAGAAAAACATCGCCAGTTTGTTTGTGCTCCCGAGGTATTTGTTGAGTTAAAGTGTTAACCCTAAAACATTCTTTTACGATGAATGCAACAACCAAAAACATTTCTGTTCTACATAACCAATAGACAGTACCCTTTTTAAAAAAATCCCATTGTCTCGTTGTGCTTTGTCAGCAAAGGTAACTTTTTCGCCTCACAATCCCAATATGTAACAAGAGCAATCTCCATTACAGAAACTGAATCAAAAATTCAAGGCCTTTTTTCATAACACTTATGATTCACATCATAATCACTTAATATAAATAAGACATTTAAAAATAAAAATCTACTCACGTATAACACAAAAATAAATCTGCCATCATTGTATTACATTTGCACTTTACTCACAAATACATTACGTGTGGTTGTTACTGTTTATTGGAATGAAACATTTAAGTTTACTTTGTGGAACTACTATTTGACCTTGCTGCAATCTTACATACAAAACATTCATATATTCACACATTCAAATAGCTAATTCAGCTGCTATGAAATCATATTAAAAACCATCATAACTTAGCTGTCCAGTGGATAAGCTGTTAAGTTAATTCAGTTTCTTAAGGATGTGTCATTGAGGTGGTTATTCCATTTGTCTCGAGAAACAATTCCTTATACGTACCATGTAACCGCAGACTCACCCTTACTTCAGGTTACAGACAGCCTTATTTGAACCCAGTGAGCTATCCTGGAAGGTTCATTGCTCCATGCATTGAGACAGACAATTGAAAAACTGAGTTAGCAGGTGCACTTCTATGCTGCCCCCGGTGGTCAGTGCTGGTAGCGTGAGGTCACTTGAGGCTGGTGGAAGGCCCCCTGGTGGGGGGAGTAGAGGATGTCGGTGGACTGAGGCAGGAGAGCGGAGCACAGTGGCTCGTGGCTGCTGAGAACGGAGGACAGGTACTTGGCCTCCTCATCCAATTGCTTCACCTCCTTCCGCAAGGCGGCGTTTTCCTTCTCCAAGTTCTCACTCTCCTGAAATGGCAGAGGAGCTGTCAGCAAGACTCAAACCGGGTCCTGAATCTCCCCAAGCGAGCTCGATGGGCCGAATGGCCTCCTCTCGTTTGTTTAGTTCTTATGTTCTAAATGACCCATGACCTCTCCATCCCAACCAAAATCAGATCCAAGGTGGCCCAACCCTGGCTGGTGCATCCGCACTTTCCATAAGTCACTTTAACATAGTACCAACCTCAGTACTATGATCACTGAACATGTCCTCCTCATTCTGACACAGTCTTTATCTGTTCTTAGATGCACTCATTACCTGCACTGAGCTGTTAGCTGTTTTCCTAAAAAAGGATCTGCCAAATCAATCACCATAAACTGGAAGGGTACACGGGGAAGGTGGAGTATGTGCTTATGTCCTTCAGGAAAAGCCACACCTCCATCTACACTGGCCAGCTGCAACCCTCACATGGATGTCCATGAAGTAGCTATTCCCTTATGACCCTTTGAGCAAGAAGCCCACAAAGCCCATCCCACAAAGCTGTCACTTGAGGAAGACAGTGATATTAATGTGATTTCTGTAGTTTTCCGGAAGCCATATTTAATGGTCAACACTTGGAAGGATGACGGCAAAATAAAAAGTTTGACTTGACTTCTGTTACCCTTTCAAAGTGTAAAAAAAAGCCACCCCACTGTAATGGTGACAAAGAGGTCACATGACTGAGAAAGACTGAGGGACCCTGAACACCACAGCAATGGTGAATACTGGCAAAATGCGAATTAGGTCTCAAAGCACATCAGCCATCATTGTTCCACTATGATTGGGAGATAAACACCTTCATGGTTCCACACTTTTCCACAGAGAGGTCTGCCCACCCCACGGAGGCATTACCGTACCCTGGACTTACTGTAAACAAAGCTAAGGGTAAACCCCATTCTTAGGAATAACCTACGTCATTCGCCCAAACAGTGTGATGTTACAATACCCTTACCAGAAATGATGGCGTCTCTCATCTGCCCACCGACACATTTTTCATTGAAGAAAATATAGCTGAGAAAAAAAAAACCAAGGCCTCTGACAGGAAACGTGTCATCTGAGGGAAAATTGAGCTTCCTGTTTACCATGCGGGGGGGGTGAAACCGAAACCGCAGAATATACTTGTCCCGTCTTCACACAAAAAAAGTGTACATTTTCTTGCACCCCCACGGGTGCTTGGAAGAGGGGTGACCAGAAGTCGTCCTCATGCACAGACCCCCAGGGTCGTAGCTGCTGTCTTGGGGGGGCGAGAGGCAAATGGGTCTTTACCAGATCCCAGCAGGGGGTGTTTTCCGCCAAGATATTCTCGAGTGAGCCCTTTTTTTTGACAGTCCTGTTAATAGCTCTGTGTGGGGATTTTTTTGACTGCCAAGACAACAAAAAAAAACGTATGCAGCGACACAAGGCTTTAGAACACACCCGCCTCAGATGAAATTGCCTTAACTCATCTCATCCATCCATTTATCCATCCACCAACCAATTGAAGCCTGCAGACTCATAATTCATGAGAAATTCTGGGCACAATGGTGGTTCCCCTCAGGTAGTCATCTCTGAATGGCATGGTAATCACACGACATCAAATGATCTTGGTGTCCTTCTACAACGTGGCCGAATGTTTTCTGATGTTAGCCACTGCTGGAGACTGACTGAAAACCCCAAAGGGATAGAATAGAGTGGGGTAAGCTATAGGGAGAGAGATGCTAGCTGTTTGTGTCAAGGGCGTGACGATTGGTGCGGAAGGGCGGGAGAGGCTAATTCATCACCTTTCCTCTCGCAGACGTCTCTAGCAGCCATGCCGGTAGGGAACAGGGCATAGGTTAGATATGGCGGACGGTGCACTGGTGAAAGTACAACTGCTGGCTGGTCTCGGCCTTAGCGTTAGCGAGGCCTCAGGAGGAAGTGGTCTACGTCATCGCAGCTCAAGTGAAAGCGACTGAGTAAAACAGGGAGTCGAGTTCATCTGGCACCCCAGAATTAGAAATACGACTCTCAAGTTGTATGACCAGGACACAAATCGCTATGGGGACAGCTCTGACAAATCACACTTCCGTGCTGATGCAGAGGGACCTGGGCACCACCTGGGCAAGCAGTACAGGCTGGGGGGATGGGTGGGCATCCCACTCTATATGTGCAGGATGGGGCTTTGCTATAATATTTAGTGCCCAGCACACCCAATAGAAGCTGCTAATTTCCACACGAAACTCACATGCACGTGCTGGCCTGCCGCGCTCCAGGGGACCAGCGAAGGCAGGCTCGAGCTCAGCCGCACGCTTCAGTCCACACCTACGGCTCTCAGAAGGGACAGTCGCCCACGCCTTATTAATCGATGCAAAAGTCTGCTGTAAACACGAGGAAGGTCTGCTCCGTGTGTACATCACAACAGAAGCCGCGGGGATGACTGGGCTCCATATGGCCGCAGTAACATCGCGTGCGAATCCAGGCTGCACCACTGGCCTCTCGTGAGCTTCCTAATCTGCACCCTGCGCACCGCTCACTACTTTCGGCTCCTGCTTTCCCGCCGGCCTGGCGTTCTGGTCGCTGTGGCAATGTTTACACTCGGCACTGAGTTCCGTTTGGCTTCCCGGCAAGGTGCCTCGAGAGATGTTGGTCTCGCTCCCGAGAGACCTTTTGCCAGTGGAGGACTGCCAAAACCTTAGGATGCTGTTAGCCCCGCCCCTTCAGCCCTCCCGCACCCAACCCCACCACACCTTGCCCGACACAGTAAGACGCAGTAAAAGCAGGTCCTCTCACCAAGTGCAGGCTGTCGGCTTTCTGAGTCTGTCTCAGTCTGCTCTTCTGGGCTGCGATGCGATTCTTCTCCCTCCTCATGACCTTCTTCATATCGTCTGAGGAGTCCTGAAGAGCAGGCAGAGGACGATCAGGCCCCGTTATCAACTTTATTTTTATACCCAATACCCAATTCCTTTGTTTTTCAATTGACATTCAAGTTTTTCTTAATCAACTGTTTACTGGATTGTCTGTCATCATAATATAGGTCGGCAACCCCATTCTGCGTCGCAAAAGTCTGGCAGTAAGTGGGAAGCAAACCAGCTGATGGGTTAAACCTCGACATCCTAAACCACATAACGGGCTGCCGCCTGCGACCGCGACGCACCAGCGTAACGCGGAACAGCCCGTTAAGGTACGAGGTGCCACTTGAGAAAAAAAAAACACAAAAACGACCGCACTCATCAAAGCGGAGGACTCCCGAGTCTGAAAACGACAGGAACCGTCCCAGCTGATCAATGCGGCAGGGGGAGGGGGTTCACCAAAGGCGCTTCAAAGAATGACTCTCCCTGCCTGACCTTCCGAGAAAGAGGCCTTCGCTTTTGACGCAAAAGTGACGTTTTGAGCGGTAACGGCGGCTCCACACGCTCACAGCAGCCAACGGCTACAACAGCACCTGAGGGGGACCAGGACAAGAAGCAGAATGGAATGAGGACACACCTCCCAGTGAAGACATTACCAAGTAGGGGCGCCATGCCGCATCACATGGCTGGATGCAGCAGACATACCCAGTAAGGCCTCACTCAAAGGGTCATTCATTTAGGTAGTGCTGCCATCATCTTTACATGACACTCCAAGGCCGTAACCAACTGTATCCAGTTTAGCGACCATTACAGATTCATAGCACTGATAGTACTCTTTATTGTCATATTCATTCATTCAGTCATTCATTCATTTTCCTTGTCCTATGCAGGGTTGTAGAGGTCCGAAGCCTCTCCCAGAAACATAGGGTACAAGGCGGTGAATAATCCACCACGGGGCACGAACCAATCACATGGCTGTTATATTTTGTAGCACATCAAATTAAATCACAATATTTCTAGCTGGAACAATACAGTCTAATTTCCTCGTTCAAGCGCACAACAGCCTGTTCCAGGTGAGATCTGAACAAGAAACCTACGAGATCAAGGTCTTAGCTGCCATGCCTGCACAGCAGGGAGTTCTTTGCATGATGCACTGTTCCTGTTACGGCTCAGGCTGTGCAGGATGTTCATTCATTCATTCACTCCCGCCACGTTCCATCACAAAACCTACTCAGCCTCTCCATCCATGCCCAGAGCAGGACCCACCACTTTTGGCAGAGTGGAACCTGAATCAGGTGCCGCTAATGCTAATCCCGGCACTCACAGCCAGAACACTCCTCCCACCACCGGCCTGCGCGACTCGCAGATGCGGGCAGAGCTGCGAGGGCGCTGCACGTGCCAGGCGACAGCGAGAGGAAAGGCGGTCCCCGCCAGCGCGCTGCTCAGGGCACGCAAGGAGGCTGGCATGCGACACGGCACGTAGCGTAGCTGGTGGAGGAACCGGACTCGCGAGCAAAAAGTTGCCGAGCAAACATTCCTGAGGGGGGCGAGCTTCAGTCGGGGTGCGGGAGGGTGGGGTGTGAAGCCTGCTAATATGCATCATCTGCAGCCCGTCCTAACTTGCATCTTTAGAGCTCACTCGCCTGCAGAACTCGTCTCTACCCCGGTTCCCAGCTGAAAGTGAGAGGTTGCTCGTTTACCTGCTTGCTGCCTGGAGATGGAGACCTGGTGTAACTTGCATCGTTGCTGTCAGAACCCTGTGCCATAGCCAGCCACGTCGCCACGAGTCCCCGAGACTCTACTTCTGTTTTCTGCGTGCTTGTGTGCTCGCGTGTGTGTCTGTGTGTTCACTGAGCCGAACAACTTGACGGTCTGGTTAATGAGTAAGAGAACACTCACTCCTCCTTCTCTCCTGCGCACGACTGCTCTCGCGCGCGCTCTCTCTCTCTCGCCCTCTCTCTCTTTCTGAGCTTTAACATAATGGTTCTGATGTGGTTTCTGGTAAAAAAAAAAACATACGAAGTAACAGTCGACTGGAAGTCACATGTGTGGAAACTTTTCATGCAAACATACAGGAATATTTAGCAGCTTGACAACACAGAAAAGGCCCACCTTATGTTATCGATTAAAGCACAAGGATTAGTGTTTGGAACTGAAAAGGCTGATGACACCTTAGATGACTATTTCAGCAGCACAAAGTCTCTGCAACTTCCTGCGTGGCTGATAACACAATACCATTTAAACTTATCATGTAGCTGAGTGATTCAGACATTAAAGGGGCGTAAATGTGAAATTTCAGAGTAAAAATAAACAAACAACACAACATGCACTGTGAATTCTTAAAAGAAAAAAAAAACTTACAGCAAGCAGTGGCCAAGATGGACAGCACTGGATTAAGAGCATTAAGTGCCCCCTGGGCTATAGCACGTATGAGATCATGTCAGAAAGAAAGGGAGCTGACTGGATGGCAGACAGAAATCAGCAATGCAGCCAACGCAGGGAAAATGCTGCATGTTTGCAGTTTTTCAGTGAGTGCTGAATTAAAAGAACAATATAAAATCGCATTCGTGAATGGGACAGGGGGGCTACTGGGGGTTGCCCCGCTTGGTGCCCTGCATAGATGTGGTGCCCCTGGGCATGTGCCCAAATACTCATATGGTAAATCCTGGGCAGGCAAACGAGGACACACAGGTGAGCACTGAACCCATTGCATGCGGATGCTATGATGTCACATGTGGGGGAGGGGGGACTCGAGGGGCTCCCCGGCATCCGCAAAAAGTCCGCTCACCCAATCTGGCGCACTCTCGACCAGGTTCCGGGTTTCTCGCTCACGACACACATCGGCGCCCCCAGATGTTCCGCCCCGAAACGGAGCCACTGCTTGGGGTCCCCCAGGGCCCATGGAGACACCTCACTCTGGACATTCCTGCTCACTGCACGGCATCCACAGCTTAAATCATTCGCAGAGGTCCTGTTTCTCTGCCCATTTCTGACTCACTGACATAACTGAATATTTTTCTACAGCAGTTCAGGTTCAGAAAACCTTGCCCAGGGTTCAACGGCAAACCCATCCTGGTACATCAGCCTGCATCCTTCTTTAACTACCTCACCATCGAAAAACTCAGCGGAATGTTGTCGTCCAGAGACATTTAAAGGAGATGCTTCAGCGATTCGTAACGGTTCACGCCTGAATTTAGTCATTTGTATTTGTGCATCGCATCCCCGCTACTTCTTGGAAGGCAGGTCTGGTCCTTCGGTAAAGTTTATGCCGTGCAGGATGCTTCTGTAAAGTGTGCCGCCCTGGAAATGCATCTCTCACCGCCAACGAGGCAGCGTCCAGGGCCCAGGGGCCGGGAAGGAAACCCACCGACTCCTTCGACCGGCTCAGAAGCCGCATTTCTTCATCACCGGCATTACAAAGTGGTTAAAGCACATGCACAGAGGGCTTGTAGAGGAGAGGAACATCCTGGTAAATAAGGCCGGCACGCTTGCATTAAAGTTTTTGTGTCCTATGTGCCGCGGTATTTACCAACAGCAGATCGCTGGCCTCAAGTTGCACTTCTGCATCACGTGAATCGATTATCATAATTAATATTCATGCTGTTGTTGTTGTTTTCTTGATCACTTTGCGAGGTGTCATTTAATGGCGCCGTGTCAAGGTCTCCCCGTGTGCCCAAAAAACGAGGGAAACAAATTCTGCCTGGCAGCACAGTCCTCCCACACACAGCAACATGTTCTGCTGGCGACTTATCGGGGAGGAGGAATTTTAAAGAGCTCAGAAAATGTCCAAAAGTGGAGCGGATATTTTAGATGATCTGCAGTAGAATTTCCAAAACAAAAAAAAAAAAAACTCAAAAGCTTAAAGATCAAAAGGTATTACATTCGGGAAGACGTTTTGGCTCGATGCAAAATGTAGCCCACCCACTGTGGCTCAATCTCAGCTGCGAGCCCCCACAGAGAAAGTCCCTCTTAAGCCTCACTCCTAGGAAAGTCTCGTGGGAGGTGTTTGATAAACGGTAAATAATAGGTTAAGGATAATCTGTTATCAGTTTTGGCGTTGCCTTTTTCAAAGTGAACTTAACATTTAAATCTACAAAATATCAGCTGAACAATGGGGTGCAATTCAACACCAATCTGGGGCAATAGAGTAACTTAAAGCCGCTGCTTTCGCTCACCTTGCGGGGAATTGACAGCTGAAATTCTGTTCGTATTCATTTACATTTACCCAGCAAAGTGAAAAGAAAAATAATTAATATCTCATTGCGACAACGCGACATCACTCAACAGCCTGACCTTTGCAATGATGGGAGAAGCGCCAGTTTAAACTGATCTCATCTGTCAATTCCCGTGTACTAATGCGAGTAGGTGGAGTCTCATATAGTCTTAAAGTCAATAAATCAAGAATCTGGTCTTGGAAAAAAATATTTTTTAAGTGATTCAAATTAGCTCCTCTCTTCCTTCATTTTTCTGGGCGACGCTGTAAACATTTTATCTTCTACACCTCATTGTTATGTGAATATCTAGTTTATTTCACTTCTTTCAAACTAAAATGAAAACAATGGAAAATATGAACGTATAGATGGGAAATTTCTGCTGGCATGACAGAAACTGCATCACCAGCATTTGTGTCTCTGACTTTCGTCTGCAGTAACGGATCTGCTTGCAGCACCAAAAGCAAATGGTGAATGGTGATAAGTTAAAGGACAGCTACAACAGGGGAATTAACGGGGGACGCCAGCCTGCACCAGCTGCAGACCTACTGGGCTATGTTAATGCGTACTTCTCATTCCCTCTCATTTGCAAATCGCTGTATCATGATTAGTTACTGTAAATGCTCAATATTCTGGTACAAACTCCTAATCAACAGTATACAAAACCTACAAGGAATTTACTGTGGATGATCTGAGCGAATAGGTGCACCCCGGCCCATTAAAAAGGCAATGTGTCACCCAAAAATTCCTCCGCCCATGAGACAAGGATGGCGCCATTTCTTACTCAGATTTGAAATTTTCACACCAATGAGAAGGGCATCCCCAGGATGGACCAATCAGAGCAAGGCAAGACAGTCCATTGTGGTGGCTGTGGGGGAGAGGTCACTACAGCTTTTACCATGTCAACTCATTCTTGAAATTTTGTTTACGGAAAGTGATATAACTGGATTGCACCCAGGGCCCAAGGGAAACCCAGTAAGTCAGTGCAAACCACCTAAAGGACACTGCGTTTCAACCCTTTTCATCCAAACTTCTGCACAGTCCAGACCTCGTATCAGTTGTTCCATACTCTTACGATTCGGGCTCAAGCGACTGCATTTGTTGAACACCCATCATCAGCACAAGAAAGACACAGAGAACTGACAATGAGGATATGCAAGGCCAGTATGCAAATTGTATTTTCTGAGAATGATTTAAAAAAAAAATTCTATATGGGACACCACACAACTCTGTAAAAGAGAAATGTTGTCTTGTCTGTCTGGTTATCACCAGCTCATTCTATTGAAAAAACATATATTTTGTGCTCTTAGGGCATATTAACTCATAAACTCATTAACTCCTATCCTTCAGCTACTTATGAAAAAAGACTTGACAAATTGGTTTGCACACTCAAAATTTTCTAAGCTAAAATTCAACATTCTCAAGACATCCCTTTAGCATTCTGTCAGCAGTATAAAGGGTTTTTGCATTTGTTTTTGGGAAGACCCTTTAGTGACATCTACCAAGCAGAGATCATTAAGACCTGCAAATTTCTTCCATTTAGCCGTGATTTCTTTATTTTGCACATTATTTACACTTTTAAAACAGAGAATTGTCAGCATCCCGCAGTTGAATCCTGAATGCTGAAGGTTACACTTGGTGTTCTGAAATCCAAGGCCGATCAATCCTATCGGTGACATAGGCGGCTGCCTAGGGCACCAATTTCTAAGGGGGCATCGATTTGCCAGCCAATTTCCTATTTGCCTCAAGCGGGGAGCACTGGCAGTGTTGCCCGCCTAGGGCCCTACATCAGCTAGATCCGGTTCTGCTTTGATCTTATCTACTGCATTAACAGGTGCAATAGGCAAACAACATAGGGATCTAGATATTAAAAATATAAGTCAACTACAATATCGTCAGTTAGCTAAGTATACTTAATGATCAGACCTCCATCAATATTCCACGGAATAATTACTTCTGAAAAGTCTCACATATGTATGTGTAAACATCTACCAACATTATATGGATAGTTTTACTGTGACATCAGTTCTCACATTTCACGGATTCAGCTATTTCGTCCTCTATAGTTGATAAATAATAAAAACACGTTTCAACTGCCTCCGAGTCACCGTAGTCTACCTGAACGTATTTCCCCATCGGGTGATATTTTTTTCAGTTCGTCACGTTTTTTCCCCTGTACCATAAAATAACTCATAGAAATTTTAGTACAAAACTAGACAGTATCTTTCTTTTTTCGGGGGGTTACTTACTACTACGTGCAATTTTAAACCATCAAATTGGTTTTTTGGAGATAACACCTACATTAACGTCCTGAATTACGTCATGCGTGGGTCGGTCTGGTCACACCGTTTGGCTTCGTCTCAAAAATCCCTCCGAGACCACTGACATTTTCAAGGCAGAAGTGTCAACTTCGAACTTAACACGAATGCTGATCATGCAACCCGAGAAGAAGCAAAATCTAATCAGTTGGTGTCGTGCGCAGGGGCGTTTCGAGTTATTGAAAAGATTAGGGACTGAATCAAAGTCAAGTGTACCTGGGGTTTGCCTTTTTTTTGAAGGAAGATTAGCATCGGGGCTAAAATACTCGGGGCTATATTTAACCCTTCTCTCTGTTGGACGTTGCTTTGGATTAAAGCGTCAGATGAATGAATGAACGAGTAAATGTAAATATTGATTCTATTACATATAAGGGACGTAAACAGTTTTACGTTTTTCTTTGAATATCAGTTAATTAACCAGTACGTTTCATTCTTTCTATCTTAATGTGTTAACACACAAACGCACACACTTGTGTGTATGTATTTATTTCTTTTTAATTCTATAAATTATGCAATTGTATATACAAAACTGGAGATCAGGTGACCTAGTCGTGTTCTCAGGGGTGTTGCTAGACATTTTGGAGTGCATATCATATTGGACTCCCATCCCAGACCAATTCAATTGTTTTCCATTTTTGAGGGAGACTTAATCATCCTAATCCCCACCCCTCTTTAGAGCGCTCATTTCACTTTTAGGTTACTTAACTCAGCGAATCACGTTCCACTAACTGCAAATCCAAGCAAACAGCGACTACTAGCGTTTTTCAGAAAACTGCATTTTTAAAACTAGACACTACTATAGGCGTCCACTAGGTAGTGCACGTGGAATGAGCAAGACGTAACTTAAAAGCATAAAACAGCATATAACAAGGGGAAAAACGAAAGCTTTGAAATGCAGTTGGGCTTCATATTTAGTTAGATTCAATTAAATTCGAGATTAAATACAATTTGAATTAATTTTTTTCAATTTGATTTTCTGTTTAAATTGCTCGTAATTATAAATGATTTATAATCATGTAAGTTATTCAAAATACGGTAAGAGACGAGGAAAAAGTTAAACACGTTTGCTAAAGTGAAAAGACTGTGTCCCACTGTATTGCTCAGGCTGCACTACAGTGTCTATTCACGGGCGCGATCCCACTACTGAGCGGCACGGGGGCTTTGACCTGCTCCGTTTCCGACCTGGGCCGGTTCACCCCTCCTTAGACGACCTGGTGGTCCCGGGCTCCCCAAGGAGCACCATATCGATGCCGAACTTAGTGCGGACACCCGATCGACATAGTCCACAGCAGCCCAGAACCCCTGAGCTCAAGCGGTTCGCCAGCCTCGGCCTCCCAGTAGCTTGGATTACAGGCGCACGCCACCGCGCCCGGCGGAAGCAACGGGCTTTCTGCAGCAGATCAACTCAGTTGTCATGACGTCACATATCTGCAGCACCCGCCCTCTAGTGGCAGTGAGAGAAAGCGACAGTTAATCTGTGCCTCTCGCACTAAACTCTAAAGATTGCCCAAAGACGTTATCATCCCCAGCGTCTGAGCATGACGTGTCCCAAATGGTCTATTCCTTTTTCAACAGAGACCTATACACAGAACAAATTACTATTAAAATGGTTTTACTATTTGAAAATAGGATTTAATAATATGTAACAGAGTAACAAAGACATACATGTTGGAAAAGTTTAACAAAGACATTGATTCCGAGTTTAAAAAAAGGTTATATTCATTTGTAACAGAACTATAAAATGCATCACATCTAGTGATAACATACAATATATATTTTCTATAACATAATGTGGCAGCATAAAAAAATACAAAGTGAATTGATACCAACAATGACAAAAACAGCACAACTGTAAACATGTCATATAAATGTGCTTTTATGACGCCTGCGTCACCACAGAATCGGGTCAACCGGACACTGCCATCGTCAAGGGCAGAATATAATTCAGCATAAAATACTTAAACTGCTTATTCCATGAACGATGCATTGGCAAATAGAACAAGTACAACATACCCTCTCTGTCTGAGTACCTGAGACAGATCTACCATACTGATTTAGAGTGTTTCTTCAACATCAACCAACTGTAGTTTTTCATTGCATTTGTTAGTTTGTAGTGATGTTGACTGGAGCTGTGAGGCACTGGATAGAGACAATAGATATAATCGGCTAATGGCTTCCAGCTCCCAATCACTTCGCCCTTTAGAGAAGTTCACCATCCCAAAGCCATTAGTAGGTGTGCCCTCTCTCCACCCTATTAGGCCTAGAGAGGAGAGCTAAGTGCTGCTGGCTGTTAGCTGCGTTGTAAACAGTCGCCATGGCAACAGTTGCTAAGCGACCTTCCCCTCCTGCCCCGCCTTCACTCCACGCCCAGCTGTTCCAGCAGGGGGTTGGCCTCGCTCTCGGGGGTCTTGACGCTGTCCGTCCTCACGATGCAGGTGGGCCGGTGCCGGTTCAGCATGACGATGAGCTGCTGCCTTTCGTGTTTCAGCTCCTCGATCTGGGCCTTCAGTTCCGAGTTCATCACCTCCAGCCGCTCCGACTCCTGCACCCAGGGAAGGAGAACGGGGATACAGTTAGAGGGAGCTCCACAACACCGTGCTGCAGCCACTCTTTGAAGATCCCTCGGCTAACCTGTGGTGTTAAAATGTCCGCACAGTAAGACACGGGGTGTTTCTCGATATGCATACTTGACCGTACTTGTGTTCTCCTGTGCCTATTTTATGTCATCTTCCATTGCCGAAGACCAGTTCCAATACTCCAGAACAGAAGTATCGAGGACGGTAAAAATCCCAGTATGTCATTTTTGCCCCCCACCCCAAAGATACATCGGTTGCATCCTCGCCACACGAGACCAATCCCATGATTCATTGCGCCCCAAGGTCCTTCTTGGGAAGCAAGTTAGCAAGACCACTCTTGGCAAGACTGCAAGTACAATCTTCATGTTCTTAGTATTGAAACACCCACGGTTCTGCTGAGATATAAGTGGCAACTAGTATCCTATATTAGTTATAATCCATTTCTGCTTAAACCTGCCCTTCAGGTGTGATTATTGAGTTCAGCTTTCGAGGGCTGCCAGTGACACAAGACTTGGAACAGTACAGCCGCACCATGAGCAGTTTCATGAGTCATAGTTTATGTTGGGGGATTAAAAAAATAAGATGAAAACAATCATAAGCCAGTCAGAACCTCAGGCTTCAAACTAATGTCGTGTTTATTTTCCATAGAGTAAATGCACAGATTCCTGGAGGCCAGATTCCTGGCTGTATCCTCCAAAGGCTACGGACAAAACCCGGGAAACCCCGGAGCTCTCGTCCAGAGCCTGGCCCCAGGGCTGCAGAACCAGGGTAACCCCGGAGCTCTCGTCTGGCCCCAGGGCTGCAGAACCAGGGTAACCCCGGAGCTCTCGTCTGGCCCCAGGGCTGCAGAACACGCGGCCCACGTACCCTTTGCAGAAACTCCGTCCGCTCTTTCTTTTTGTTTCGACATCGGGCTGCCGCCACCTTGTTCTTCTCCCGCCTTCGTTTCCTCCGATCCTCTTCCTCATCCATCTGCACATGGTGAAAAGTTGGTGAAAGGTGACATATTTGATAAGTCCCCATCCAACGATCACCCCAAGCAGTGAAATAAATATGAATACAGGCATACAGCTTTGATATTTCAAAAGCTGTCCTCTTAATATGAATTCCTATCTTGCCATTTTTATCTTATTTCTCTTCTTCCCATCAACCCGCAATAAATTGTACCATAGCGATGCACAGATGGAAGCAATTCTTACATAAAATGTTTACTGGTGCAATTCGTCATTTGTCCACTAGGTGGAAGCATTGGTGAACATTAGAGAGCCCCTGACATAAAGATTAATGAGGGGAAAGACTCTTTCAGTGCCTGACAGTGCATTCCAGCGCTGAGGGGGAAGTTACACATGTTTTTCAGCATTGAAACCTACTGCTGTGTTTACTGAAGTGCACCAATTTGTTTTAATATACGAAAATATTTCATAAAATGTTCTACCCCTTAACCACCCTTTGCAAGACATAAGGCATCTCTCAAGATATTTAAAGCTATATTAGCTGGAGGGTGCTGAATGCCAGGCTGCTGGATGCGTCCCGATGTTGTGCTCGCAATCTGTGCTGCGCAATCGACGCCGGTGACCTCACAAGTTGAGAGAAACACTTCCTGGCTGCATGTCAGCGAGAGAAAGCGGGACATCTGTGAGCGAGTTACAGCTCTTCGGGGGTGGGGGGGGGCATTCATCCAAGGCGGCTTTATCTCAAGCCACGTTTCAGGCCTGAGCGAAAACCAGCTTGGACACGATTTTCCAGAAGGCAAACATGATCCGTTCTGCGTGCGGAAAGTTGTTTTTTTATATACTAACTGCAAAGAGTAGGCTGGGGACCCCAAAAGGGAGCTGGGAAAATGCAGTATGCAGTGCAGTGGATGGCTGCTGCATCCACTGCTGGAAACAGGAGGGGGCGCTCACCTGTCATGCCCTTGTAAAAAAACCCATAGTACAGACTGCTTTGTTATATAAAGCAGGTGCGACAGGGGCAAGTAACCATCCAGAGGAGAAATATAGCGAAACCGTAGTGAGATTTCGGTAACCCACGGGTCGGGTCGGACTCCTGGGCAGTGCCAGCCGGCCTCACCTCGGCCTTTATTGGTGCCGGCCTCTTCCCCAGCCTCCCCAGGAAGTGCAGCGGCGACAGCATGGCACCCAGGCTGCGGAGGTCGGCGAACTTCAGCTGGTCTGTCAGCGTGGTGGCGGGGATGCCAGCCAGCGAGCCGAGGCTGGGCAGGGTGCCGGCCGGCAGCGAGGGATCTGGGATCTGTCCCGGCATCATGTCAGACCCGGCTGGTGGGAGGGGGCAGAGGGAGGCGCAGAGGAGGAAACGTCAGTCACAGAAACCTTTAGGAACAATAACGACAAAGGCATGAACGTGTGACGTCTAGTGCTTCTCAGTGTCACCGGAACAGTCATCCTATGTGTGACGGCTTCGCTTGGAGGGGGACACAGGCCCAGGGCCATCGTCCATTTGGTGGCATCTCTGCACTCCACACCTAAGTAACTCTATGCGACCCAAAGTATGTTCTTCCCATCCCTGCCCTTTCAAAGCCAGTGAGTCAGGGGTCTTTGATATCCATCCTGTTGACATGCGGCTGCAACAAGCTCAAAAAGGACTGGAGATGAATCGCCCATCTCCTGCTTGCCGTGCCACTCAGTGCAAGCACATGGCTTTTGGTTACCGTAACACCTTAGAAACCTTCGAGAGCGCCATGACTGCAGTGCAGCGGCGGGTGGGCTAAGTGCAGAGGGGAAATGGCTACAGTAATGAGCGATCTCTCTGATTATTCCCGAAGAAAACTGTGGTCAACAGTAACCGGTAAATGAAAAGCAAATCGCGGAGAGCAGTGCCACTAGGGCAGTCCATCCCAGCGCCTTCCGGCTCTCCATCAAGAGGCCGTCCCGATGATGTTCCGCAGCCGGAATGCGATTCTCCAAGAACCGGCCACGTTACCTTAATAACGGCGATGAATTTTGCGGGGAAAAGGGGCCCCGACCGATTTACTTCCCTTATATATAAATCAAGAAAATCCGTGCAGGTAAAGAGATTTAAATCAGGCTAAATGCACCCAGAGCTTAACCCGACAGCACAGAGCACCACAATGTGGAACATTCATTGGCGAAATTGCCACCCCCCCCAAATTCATCTTCAGCTGCCAGTAGACAATGACATAGCAGAGGACCACCAAAACGGGGCCTTTCCCAGAATGCACCTGGGCCAGTCTTCAGGATGAATTGTTGGCCTGTTGAGAAACAGGAGTCCAGAGCCAGTCTCCAGCAGCACATTTTATTATTTCATTTTTACCCCCCCCCCATCCAACGGTATCTGTACTTCCATTTACAGAGTGCTTGGCAGGGGCCGCCGTGTTTTTTCTGGAGGGGCTGTTAGAGGCAGCCGTGCCGGAGAAGCAGACTCAGACGCATTCCCCTACCACCCCCCCCCCCATCTCGAGGGGAGCGGCTGCCAGCCGGCGCCAAGAAAACACTCGCCCGCCACGCATCTTTTGAGTGTGTCAGTGTGACGCTGAACCGCTGCAGAGCCGCACCACCGGCCCCCTGCGCCGATCCAGCGCAACCGGCCTTATCAGACAAGAGCTCATCTCTCATTGGTAAGGCCAGAGTACCCCTTATATAGCGCCTTTCCTCATTAGGGGGAACGACTCAGGCCAGTCATAATGTGGCCGTCGCTCGCCGCCGTTGCAGGCTAATACATTAACATCTGGCAGGAGGCCTGCCGCTATGGAGAGACCCCAGTCAGGACATGCAGCGTTTGGCCTCGCCTTACCCCTGCACCGGGCACTGCATGAGGCCCCCCCCCTGCATGGTCGAGAGCCCCGGGACAGCCCACTCTTTCATCAGAAAGGCACCCCCCCGGGAGATCTGCTGGTACAAGCTGCTATTTCAGTGCCGGCAAAGCGACTCTCCCAAAAAGCTCTTTAAAAGTATAAAATAAAAATAAAAATCCAGTGTCCCCATCCTGTGCATCGCACTCACAAGCTGCACAGGAGGAGTTCTCTGAAATGTTCTATAAAGTTCTATAAATGGCCCCGGACGGCCACCCTCCGCCCTGAATAATCTGGCGGGGAACACGTTACTAGGGAAGACGCAAAAAAACATTTATTCACGGAGAAAAAAAAAAACCAGAAGAATCTACAGACTGCTGAAGCAATTCCCTAGTCAAAGCAGCATCTGAACAAGTAGCAGCGTCACGCTCGAGCTGTCGGACGCGGAAGACGCCCGGGACGGGGCCCCCGGCGGGGCATGACAACACGCGACTGCGTGCAGACTGACAAGAGAGCGCAGAGGATGCGTTGCATGTTACTCATCGAGCAGGAGAAACATGAACCTCACGCCGTCTGGCCGCCCTCCAACACAAACCATATTTGAGGCTTTGGCTCACCAGCGGCACGCCAATCTGTACGGGAGCCTCTCTCTCTCCATTCCTCCTCCACACTAAAACTACAGCTCCACCAAGAAGCACCCCAACCAGTTTCTACCAACATCTCACAATCGCTCTTTATAGATTCCTCACGGACAGAGTCGATCCGAACAGGATTTCCGGCCGCATTCCTGGAGCCCGTTAGCGTCACCATCTCTGAGGGACCCCTCCTTCCCCACCCATGCTAGGACCTAGCTGAGCGCCAGATGGTGAAAAACAATCTGATAAAATAAAGGGTGGGGGGGGGAATAAGCTAAACAGACCTCAAACTAGCATAAACGCAACAAGCTGCATGTGTGGTCAGGTGAAGATTTCATTATACTGACAAGAGAGACCAAGGGAATGAAGCTAGAGATCAGAGCTCATCCTCCATTCTGCAGGGACGCCCACTTCTCCAGGTTCCCCCCTGACCTGCAGGGCAGCCACATGCCCAGGGGTCCTTCCTCCCTGCCTCTTGCCCCCAGACACTCTCCCCACCCACCCAACACAAGTCAAAAGTGCCAAAAACTTCAATTTATAAGCAGGGACAGTCAGCACGCCCTGCACTCCTGTTCATTCTAGCAAAGACGGGAAACTCCTGTGTTGCCAAAGGTCCTCTGTTACTCCATCGCCTGCTCTCTGTCAGCCATTATTGCATGTGACCCAACGCTGGCACTTGGGCCCACGAGAGGAGAATGTTCCATGGTGTGAAGCAGCGTGTCACTCAACACCAATAAACAGTCCCGACATGCAAACAACTCACCCTACAAGGCTCAGACCTGTTATATCTGGACAAAAAGCTGTTTCACAAGAACCCAGAGGTTTGAGGTCTGCCCCAGAGGCAGAGATCAGCACCCCCTTGACAAGGTGCACTGCCACGATGGCACCCAACAGGATTACAACAGGACTGACACCTACAGAACAGGGATGGAATTCAGGCTCCTCTTATCTCCTCTTAACAATATCAAGAACCTCATCAATGACCAACTGCAGCAGCTACAGTAACGGAGTAAAGCCGAACCAGGGAAAATCTTCGAAAGGCAAGAGCAGAGAACCACGGCAAAAAAATTCTGACACATAAACCCCAACCCCAACAAAGCCTGGCTTGTGAGTCCCTAACTGCCCAAAACTGAATCATGAAGTATTTCACTCTAACCAGCCCCCCACCCCAAGAGCCCAAAAGGAAGGGGCCCCCCTTCAATGAATAACCCCCCCCCCCCTTGCCTTACATCCCCTGGCATGAGAGCTCTGCTGCACCCCAGAGTAGCGCCAGAATGTTATGGGCTTCTATTAGGTTGCGAGTTCTGCTGGATCAGATGCGGCTCTTCAGGCACTCGAAGCAAATGGCATTCCCCTGCGTCAACGACCCCCCCCCTCCCCCCCCGACCCAAATCGCTGCATGCAGGGCATAGAGGGTGGGCATCAGTGCCAAAAAAATACATTAATTACAAAGGCAGCCTTTTTCCCTGCCCTCCATCCCCACGACAACCTTACTTTGCCACTGCTTGTGCTTAGGTGACAGTCAGTCGGGCCGCTGGCTCGCGAGGCATTCTGAGGCAGGGGGAACTGGGTCGGGGGGGGGGGGGGGGTCAGTACTTATCTACACATTGCATCATAAAGGTCAAGTGTGCAATCCGTCCTAGAAAGGATGTAGTTTGCCAAAAAAAAGGCCCTTCATACCCTGCTCTGCACAGATGCACAAACCACTTCAGAGCAAGAGCAGAACATCCATCCAGCTGGCCCAAATGAGCCGGCTTTCAGGTTTAATGCAGGGCTTACGCGTTATCACAGCAATCCCGACAAGGAAATATGCTGCAATGAATAATTATTCACCTGAAAGCGTGATCGGCATCACGCACTTATCACACGTTAAGCTTTAACTCGGTTACAGTTTCAAAGTTCCGCAAAATAAGCATACGGCAAGGAAATCTGGCAGCGATGGCTGAAACTCAAGTGATTCTCTTGCATAATTGCACCGTTATGACACCAAAGATTCATAGTGAAAGAAGCGTGATGAGGTCGTTCACATGGGGGAGCTGCAGTGACCTTAGCTTGTTTTGTCTTTGCTGACCTGTTAAGTGCGTTCCTGGTTCCTTTTCCCTGGGTTATGTTGGGGGGGGGGGTATTTGGGACTGATACTAAATGACTCAGGCTTTCAACAAGCAGCTGGCACAAAATCTGGCGTCACCCGTGCACCCGTCTTTTTGGCCACAGCAAAGACACCGCTCGGTATTCCAGCTCAAAATAATCTGCACCCACCCCCTCAATCCCCCCTCCATTTTTCCATGTCAGCGTGCCACTGACATTTTTCCATTCATCCGCTGCGGCCTCCCTGTCTATTTAAAACGTATCCTGCGGACAGATGCCAAATTGCGACTGCGCTCCATGCCAGCCGGCTCTGAGTGCACGAGGCTGCAGGTACGGCTGCAGCTCCTGCCAAGAAGAAAACATGGAAGGAACAGGAACACAGTAAACAAATGCCACCCCCCCCCCCCACACACACAGTTTCCTGTGAACAGGCATGTGGCATGGGGGATAGACTGCTCTACAACGGAGAGATTTTCAGAGAATGCAGACCTGGCGAATATGCGACAAATGGAAAAAAAAAGATCATTTGCCATTTTTACAAGTTCTAAAACAAATATACACTTGACCTACAAGAAAAACCACAGCTGATCAAGATCTGCCTTGCGTATATGCAAAAAATGCAATGCAATTCATATGCATCAGATGAAAATAGAACTTCAGTTTAATTTGGCTAGAAAACAAGACAAGGTAGTTACTAAGCTATGCAGCTATAACTGACAGCCGCACTGAGGTCAATATTTCCTAAATTAACGGTCTGTTATGATGGTTATCAGGTCGGGCCATTCAGTGTTTATGCCCGATTACATCTCTGGAGTGTTAAAGTCAAAAAAGCACAATGTTGCACAATGAAGCCACATTTCGGGACATCCGCGACTGGAAGCTAATTTTCCTCGAAATTATGCACAGTCACAGAAATATCCTAAACAAAATGTCACATACGCACAATATAATTTATTTCACACTAAATGAGTCATTGAATCTTCCTGTTCAATATTCTGTGATCGAGCTAGCAGGACCCTCATTTACAGTTTAGCGGCATGAACGGTGTGCGGCTGCTGTTGAATGGTTTCACAATATCTGCTTGCAAGGTTGCCTTATTTTAACCACCTCCATACTACAAACCATATGACTGCATAGCAAATGCATCAATCAGTTTAAAATATTAGTTTTATTTGATTTGTTTGCTGTTCAACCATACCGAACACAGTTACTCATTAGGAAAAGTAAAGCGAAATTCCTTAGGAGACAAATTAAATAAGCATGCGTTGACATACCTCCCTAGTTCAAAAATATTTACATAATCTAAAAAGCTGCCAGAGGCCTTGTATAAAAATAAGCATCACGGGGTTGTAGGTGTTTGTACAAAGAGAGGAAGAGATCAATTACTGCATGGTTAGCTTTAACAAAATAATCGAGTATTTAAGTAATCGTTGATGACTCCTAAAGCACACTTGTTAAAACATACCTTGCGCTTCACATTTATGAATCAAGAACCCGCCAGAATTAACGGGACCTGCAGAAGCATTCCTTATGACAGTAGGCCTACTTTAACAACTTTTTAAAGCAAACACTGGCTAACAGAAGTTCTTTTTTACTAAGTTACTAGTATAGCTGTAAAACAGAAGTGTCTCAAGTAAAAGTGATATCAAATTGAGTCTATTAAGACTCACCGTCCCAAAAATGACAGGTATAGAGGAATTATCAGGTCAGATCTTTGTCGTGCAGGCAACAGCAAAATGCATGCAAAATGTCACCATTAACTACTGGCAGGTCCGCTCAGCCTTAATATTATTACATAAATCAAAAATATACTATGAGATCTTTCTACTATGAGACCTTGTTATGTAATGTGCTTTACACGAGGTTAACGTGCCTGCCATCTGCATGTCTGCCCTGCAGTTATGTCCTTAAAAGTCATCAAACGGGTTAACACGCGAAATCAATGTGCGGGAACATCAACAATAACAATAGGGGAAAGCTCGTGTCAAAATCATCATTAAAGCTCTACTTCTAATACTGAATGGACCTTTTGGAACAGATACATTGTAAGGATATGAATGGCGCTGACTCGTTTTTCAAAGCGGAAGTTATTGTTCGATAAATTATGTACCAGCTTAGTTACGTAAACTCGGCATTTGCAGCACGAGAATAAAATACGGTTTAATGTAATAGGTGTGGAACTTACTGTAACTACATGACTAATATATGATCCCAATGACCTATTATTACTGTTTCTAAGTAATATTGACTGTTTCTTCAACTTGTGTAGCACTCGGCTTAAATTTTTAAATAATAGGCTATGCAGAAATAGCTGTGCAACACGATTCGAAAGGAAGACCCAAAAGGCGAAAGCCAAAGTATGCGGTAAAGGGACAGCGTGCATGCAAAAATAAAAGCAATCTGTAAAGCTTTTAATAAAATGACAACCATACTCTTCGGCAAAACATACAAAATCGCAGACTCTGCATGGAGTTTTAAACTGTTTCCGAAATATCCCTGCTTTCTAAGTAATTCGTTAACTTTATCCAAACTCCTTGCGTGACTCCAAAAGAAAACAACGTTTACAAAAAAAGTTCGCTATTTACCCGACTTTGGTCCTAAATCCGATTGATATTCCTTCTTCAGCTCAGTCGATGGTCGGGTATAGATTTTAAAAAGTGGAAATCGTTGCATCAGCCCGTTTATATAGCGATAATTTTCTGGGAGGGTTTGGGAATGCGGAACTCGTTTAAAAAGCCAGCCCGACGTAAACGAGGGATGTAAGAAGACTGATCGGCGTAGAAATCAGAAAAGATGCGTGAAAAGTCTGCTGGCTCCACCCCTGACAACCGGAAAACAGAAAGCACGCCAACCTGCGCATATAGCGATTTGGTACGATCACGTAAGAAATCGCAGGGAATCCCAGGGTCGGGAGACATTAAGTAGTCGAAAATCTTAGCTTTCTAACTCAATGCAGCTTTATTTTCGAGAATTACGTGCATTAGACACAGGAACCTTCCTCCTTTAACTTTATCAGTTTGTTCAGTATTAGGGGAATATTGTTGTTATTGTAAGCGATATTAACTAGAGTGAAGGACAAGTATTTTTTCGCAACATCCAATACTTGTAGATATGTTCTCATAGTGATCTTTATCTGGAATGTGACTTGTATTAAAGGACATTTGATGAATTACACACCATGTGTTGATTTTTATGTGCGTGCTGTCCAGTCTACATCAAGTAGTATTCATTTAAAGCCAGAAGTCTTATCTTTCGGTCTATGTTGGGATTAAACTGTTTGCTTTGTTAAGCAAGTGGACGCAGTGATCTCAGCTGGCCTGAACTGGTTTACATTACTCAGGCTCACACTTTACCAGTTCAGACCAGAATAGTTTACGTCCCGTCCCCCCGTCCCCCGTCCAAAAAAAAAACTACTTGAAAAATGTACTGGCCTCTCCAAAGTTAACCACAATTAGGCTACTTGAAAAGTTAAAGGTACGCTCGGAATTACGTGCTGTAATGGTGCTTTGGGAGGTGGGTATACTGTACAATTCCATATACGCACTTCTCTTTCACTGATACGTATTTTTACGATGTTTGGGTGGGGATACGGTAAATCCATATTTTCAGAGGCGGGTATACACGCCGTATACCAGAATATACCCACCACTACACCTCTGGAGTTGTTAGTCCATGCGGGTAGGTAGCCTACCTTCTAATCTATAATTATTCCTCTTGTGGCAGCCAAAGTTAACTATATTTCAGCATTGGTGACATTGCGGAGGTTTTCTAGTAATGGCACATAGGAAATGTGTAGACGTGCGGAGAAAAATCACGAGAAAGCAGACGGTACCTACATAAAGCATACTGGATGTGACCCGGCTTTTTTAGCGCACCCGGAATGTGACCCATGACCCATTTTGAGCAGAGTACGTGTCTAGCCCGTGAATTCGCTGTTTCATTTACACATCTTACTCCTCTGTTATATATACCGTTTGTTTGTATAACAGCCTTAGATAGAGTGTTACAACACGAAATTGCACATAAATTAATAATAGGCCGCGAAATGCTATATATACAGCAAAAATCACATGACACAATAAAAGAATTTGTATTAAATTACTAGTCCTGCATTAGGGACTATATACATATATGACGGGTGTAGGTATGGAGGTAGGCTATAGGAGTTGGGAAATACTTGCCAGCTACAGAACACCTTGTTCTTTTATGTATTTTGAAATGCCTGCCTGCAGGCATTTGAAATGCATCCACCTGCCCTGGATAACCGGTTAGGAGATGGATGGATGAATACTAATAGTTCTTCTCTAGACCAAAGTAGCTGTGGACATTTGAACGGAGTGAAGTTGTGAAATGTGGTGGGAAGCGACAGTAAAAGGAGAATCGCAATAAAAGGGGAAGGTTGTTTTTTTTCACATGGGCAGAATATCAGAGTTTTCTGGAATGGCTGCTGCCTGTGTGAGTGTTTCGACTGAACGGACCCATGAATTGTAAAAAAAAAATTAAAAATAAACGGCACCGTGATTTCTAATCGCGTGTAATTGATACCGTACGTGGTACTGTCGCTAACAAAGATCGCGGTTTTACCGGTGTTTTGGTGTCCTTGACTTGGCAGTACAATATAGGATGCATCTCTAGTTTCCTTATATGGGCCACATTTTGCAAAAGCATAGTTGCTAACAACATTAGCAACTTCCGTAGTTAGAACCATGAAACTGAATGTTTCCAACTATGTAAGATGCTAATGGGAAATTTTGGGAAACGTAATTGCTAAATCATTTACTTATCTACAAAATTAGCTTTTTGCAATAACAATTTTCTCTTTGATATTTGTGGAAGTGATCACCATTTAAAAATATAACAGCATGCATGGTTACACACACATCTTCGTAATTTCTCCATACAGTTATGACTGTTAATGGCATCAGAAGAAGACTCCACTGTAAAGGGGACTACAAATGACCTGCCGATTTCACTGTAGCACAGTGATCCAAGCTAAGCTCTCCAGGACTCCGTGAAAGTGCCGTTTATGGAGAGCGTTTCCACGATCCCGGAGTCACGCAGTGACCAATCCGAGGCCCTGTGGCGGCCTCCACAGAGCTCTCTTTGTGCCAAAAAAAAAATCAGAAGCACACCGGGGACCTTTAAATGGTTTAACACGCCTATTTTTAGACCATTCAAGTCAGAGTGGTGTCTACTATGCCCATAAACTGGGTCCAGAAATATTCACTGTTAAATATTTTGTCTTTTATGACTTTTTCTCCCAATGGCAGGTGAGATTATTGCATCATGTTCTTGCTGAATTTAGAAGAATCCAGGGCTTTGCATAATATACTGCTCTGGGGGTGTTTTTGGGGGGGCTTTCTTGGCTAATGACATTAAGATTTTTGAGAATACTTACAGTTACATTGTATGATTATTGATTTATTAAATTGATTTAGTTTTTGGACTGATTGTGGTAAAAAAAAGTCCAGTTATTTTTCTTGACATTGTTGCTGATTATATTGTTTTAAGCAATGAGCAGTGGAATTAGATTGTACCAAATGTATCACTGCAATGATAAGTGGTAAGGAAGCAGTTCACATACCATCCATCCACTCATGAACCACTTTTCCTGTCCTAGGTAACAGGGCACGAGGCTGGGCTACACCCCGGATGGGATGCCAGTCCATATACACACTATCATACTCTTGGGGCAATTTAGAGGCATTGATGATCCTAACTGCATGTCTTTGGACTATGGGAAACTCAGGAACCATGCAGAAAATATGCAAGAGGCAGAATTTGGACACCCAAACTGGGAGGTGTGAGGTATCAGTATTGCCCACTAAGCACCAGTGTCACCCAGATCAGGACACTATATAGATGGGGAAAGTTAGGATGATTCAAAGGGCCCCTGAGTGACAAGGGCCCTAAATAATTTGGAACGTAAGTGGATTGGTCTGAGTTGGGGGCCCAGTATGATATGATGTCATGGAGTCCAGAATCTCCAGCAGTACACCTGATGCAGATCAATGACCAAATACCAAACATACATACACATGTTGTAAAGTATCTTGCTCAGATTTATTTACTGAATGACTAAAGCAAACCAAGTAATAAAACACAGAACTGGGTTGTTTTTAATATACGTGGCACTTGTGTAGGAGGCCAGATGCCGTGAATGTGAGTAAAAGAATAATGAGGAGATTCATCGCCTGCTGTGTCAATCAGGCACAGAGTGCGTTCTCAGCGCAGCGTCAGCGCACCGATCGAGGGCAGTGTGGCCTTCCCAGCGTACACAGAGAACAGATGGCTGTTGTGTCTGGAACCTTCCAAATCATACCTTTAGGTCTATTTTTGTTCCTGAGCCTGCCTGTCTATGATTTACATCCAGTTCCTTTGTGAATCTATGTGTCACTCAATCTAAACATAGAGTTATGAACAAAATGTTTATTTTCAGAAGGGGGTGGCAGGGGGGAGAGAAACTGTGTGTTTCGCAATCCATCCTGAAACAGGAATCAGCCTCGTCACTTCTAGGCTGCCGAATGCTCAGCGTGAAGCCTCCGATTTTTTCGGACTATAAAACCAAATTTACGGCTCCCCTTTTTGCAGGTCTGGGTAGCATGAAGTAACAGCCAATGAAGGACTGTATTTGTCGGTTGCCATTTTTGGGTATGTTTTGCATGTCCAGGGGAAATCTCACTAAGCTTAAGGCAGCCATCTCTCTGATCGTTTTGGGATGACATACGGAGATCAGAACACGTGCGAAAAATATGTAATTTGTATAAATGGACCAGAAAGATTTTACCCATCTTATTATCCTCCCTGGTTGTCCCTGTGTACTATTTACATTAACATGGAAATGGCCAATTATCCCTTTCCAGTGTGTCCATGATTGTCTCACTGCATTCCCTTTTGAGGGCAGAGGCACTTTGATGAAAGATCACTGTAATTTAACTGGACTCGTCTGAACGTGAAGCATGAAGTGTCTCATTTAGGCATTAGCCCTGTCCAGCTTGAAAGGGTGTCCACTCGACATTTTTGTGCCACATGGCGGGTATGAAAATGCAAATAATCTCCACGCTATCTTTGCTCTGCATAATTGCCCGCACACGGACTGCCACAGTCCCACCAGATCCTAGTCAATGAATATGATCTTCTTAGGCAGAAATCCACAATAGTTTAACTGAAGTCCCTTTGCTGCCAGTAGCAAAGCATCAGTGTGGCTGTCTGATGACTGTTGTCCTTCCTCTGAATGTGCTTTTCAACTGGATGTTTGTTTTTCAAGGGAGGCAAGGAGTGACCTTTATTACATCATAATTGCTCAGTCCCGATAGGTAACTGCAACAACAAAATGAAAGATTAAATCCATGAAAAAATCCCTTTCATAAAAGACAGTTCCTATTGAAAGTTCTTTTCAATGCTTATCACTAAAATACATATTCAATCTGTCGCCCAGGCTGTAGACCTTAAAAGTTCTACACAATTATCAACTTTATAACACCCCTGATTATTGCAACATTTCCAAATCAAAAATATTCCTGCTGCAGCAAGTTCTTGGTAATGCCTTTGCATTTTTTGAAGTTCTGCTTTTTCATTTTTAGAATTGCTCATCCGAAATATAGAAGAAGATCCATACCATTGCTCGTTTAAGGATCATTTTTGTCACTCAGGATGAGTCAAAACTCATCGTTTGAATGCTGTGGTGTGGTAGCATTTTACCAAAAGTTTACATCACGTAAGACTCACTCCAGGTGTGATAGAGTGATCCACAGGACCCAGGAATGGGTGGCGGGAGATAGGGACTTTGGCTTTGGGAGGTAGAGCTTAGAAAATGATAGGGGGGGGGGGATAAGAGGAAAACAAGAAAACCAGGTGGGTACAGGATTATAACAGGATGTGGAATCAGGCACCCTGTGTGTGTGTTCTGGGCCTTAGAGGGAAAACAGGACCAGGTTTGCTATGATAATACGGCACAGATGAAGTGATCCCCAGCCATTAATGAGTGTGCCCAGCCCCATCTTACAGAAGAATTACTGTGTCAGGTGGTACATAAAAGCACCCTCACTCCTCAGGACCTGTGGCTTTGTCTCAGCTGGGCACAGTCAGCGTTCTTGTCCAGGCTGTTCCAGCCTCGCACTTGGACCAAATGGGGGCGAGCCCATTACTTACTGGCAGAGACAGTTTGGGCCAGAGCCTGAGTGCGACCGTGGAGACACACCTGACCGAAACTATTATCCCAGCAGTTAAAGCAGCGAGGAGCCTGGCAGACACTGAAAGGATGCACCGTGCCACCTGCCAGAGCCAATCATCTGCCCCCTCTCTTCAAGGCTCATTAAGTCAGCCGTCTGCTGGGTTGGGTCCAGACAAAGAGGGCTTCCCAGACAGCGTCTCGCTTTATACAGAATACGGGCATATAAAACACACGATAGGGTTAGGCAGCACAAGATGGCAGCTTTTACGGGTTACCGCGGAGCAAGGCCAGGGCATAGGCAGGTGTGTCACTCAAGTGAATCAGAATCTCCGGAGTCCGGTCATCATCACACCCGTCCAGTGGCAAATAGCTGGGAACAAATGATGAAGATGTTCATAACTGTGGCTCATCCGTCGCGTCAGAATTATTAACAGGCACTCTATTACTGGACAATGGAAACACACCTCTAGCTTGGTCATGCGCGAATTCACTTCCTGGTCACCTGATGAATTATCCGTATCACTCCAGAGACTGATATGTCGCAGGATCACGTGCTAGTTACCAAAACAGAACAGTATGGGGATCATAAAGGTTGCCTTGTCTTGCATGTACTCACAGATCTAACACAAACACAGCAGGGTCTAATTAGCCAGAACTGAGTGGGAGTTTTATCAAACCACAGGAAGGCATGCTGGTCAGGTTGGAGGGAAAGCGAAGGTGGGTCTGTTACCATCAAATTCTTCATGCTGCACTTGCCAGTCACCTGGTATCGCAGCAGGGCCTCTAAGGGAAACCACCAAACAAACAGACCCCAGCACCAGGGCAAAGGAAGTAAATACACATGGAATTCTGCCGAGTATTCCAGAACCAGGAATGCTCCCTGTTCTATCACAGGTTCAGGCCAGGTCCCAATTACTGAAGAGCATGACCATATTTTATGGATTCTGAGAATGCATACAGATACCGAGAATGCATATATAACACATATATATATATGTGTTATTTGCATAAAATTTTAATTCAAACAAATAACCTACAGTAAATAAGACTAACAAATGTATATGTGTGTGTGTGTGTGTGTGTGTATATATATATACACACACACACACACACTAAAATATACCCTAAGGTCTTGAGTTGGGTCACTTAACATAGGCAGTAGTACACTAGTAGTTGTGTATGCCACTGGAGTTTAATTATATGACCTAGAAAGTTTATAGCATTTAATTTTACATTTAAAAACCGCAAAAAAGTTCTCAAGCAAAAACATATTTGAAAAACTTCAAGAAAGTCAGATTGAAAAATGATAATCAGAATAATGCCTTAGAAATAGTCTGCTCCCTGAATCAGCTTTCTGGAGTTAAAGATAGGTGTCAACGTTTTATGTGTTAATAGCTAATATCCGCATAAATGATCCCCTAGCAGTGGTGGAAAGGTCAGCTTCAAAAAGTACAAATCCAGACCAAGATTTTGTTTCAATCAAATGAGTATAAAGAGTCACAGTCACAACTTTAACAGAGTCAACAGAGTCTAGAAATCAGTTATACATTTTTCCTGGTCCATCATAGCCAATGTCTTCTTCACTGCTGTTTGCTAGGGGGAGTAAAATTAAGGGGAAAGACATGGGTTGGCTGAAGAGACTTTAGAGCAGGGGTCTCCAACTCCGGTCCTGGAGAGCTACTATCCAGTAGGTTTTCTGTCCCACTTGGCTTCTGATGAGCCACACCTGTTCCTGGTATTTACCTGAGGACAGGTGTGGCTCATCAGAAGCCGGGTATGATCGAAAACTTCTATCATATTCTACCTTCATTTTAAGTAAAGCTGCTGGACAGCAAAGATTTACCTGTAAGGATCAATAATAATTTTTCCCCTTTTTAAAGGTTTCAACTCAGTTATAATGTGTAAAATTATCATTATCATTGAATATCTTATACATAGGTATATGGTTTTTCAAGAAAAATTACAATATTTAAATATTTATGTATTTTGAAGAGGAACTGAACTAATGTAATTTCCAAAAATATATGCAAAGCTGTCCTTAACCTGGCCAGTGAAGTGACAAGCAATTGTGCAATAGTGCCCCCTGTCACACATGTGTGTATTACCCATTGTACATGGTCACTATCAAAGCTGTAAGATGGCATAATATCTGCAGTGTCTAAATCAATATGTCTAAATATTGGCCATCTAGACACATTTGAATAATTACAAAATTTACTACAAAATAAAAATACAATATATTCATCAAACAATGACGGGACTGCAGCATTTATGTTCCACTTTTTTCAGTTGCTTACACAGAATACTAGTACCTCGAAAACACTAGACTGTGATATTAAGAAGAAACTGAAAAAACAAACATTACAGGCCAACGTGCAAAAGTAACAAATTTGCTCGTCAGTGCCAGTAGTTCATTGTGTCAATCTGATTTATATAAATGACTGTAAAGTTATAAATAACCTGCACTTTGTCAAACCTTATGGTAAAGAAAAATGTTTTCATTATTACACTGTAGTTTTTTGGTATTGTTGAGAATATTAGCTTTCCACATCTGGAAACAGCAGTTTGAGAAGCAATATATACAAAATACAAATTGAACTGGACTTTAAGTCACTTGTAAAATGTCTAGGTTACAGTCAAAGTCTAAGTAACTGGTCCCTATGGCATCAGGTTTCTGCCAATGTTATCAAGCAAGACTTTTTTAACATCAACCAAAAATAAAAATTTGACAGAAAATAAAACTCACTGAAGCAAAAAAATAAATGTCATCTCAAAAGTAAAATTTACACCCAACAAACAAATTATTGACAGCTCAGGCCAGGTTGGGGGGCATGCACTGGTACACCGTGTTGCCACACCCACCACACGACAAGACACCTTGGTATCCCAGTTGGCAACCCCCCCGGCCCCCATGCAGTCTAGTCCCCCATCTGGAAATGACCATCTATGTGCTACAGCCAGGTGTTACATGGGCGTCTCCTTGGCCTGGTCAATTCACTTGGGTCCTCAGCAATGAGGATCCTGCGAGCTGGATCATTCTCAGGAAAACATGCCACATGGCCTTAGTGCTGTAACTGACGCTCCCACACAATCCAGATAATGTGTCACATTCAGGACACCCTGAGCAACCGCTTGCTTGACACAAAGTCCAACCAACGGTACCCAAGGATTCTCTGAAAAGACACAGTACCAAAGGAGCCAAAGCTTTGTCTCAGGTCACTGTATAGTGTCCATGTCTCACAGCCATACAGCAAAACAGGAAGCACCAGGACTCTAAAGACTTGGACCTTCATCCACTTACAAAGATATCAGGAGCGCCACACACCCCTTTCCAGTGACCTCATGACCCCCTTTGCTCCGACCTGATCTCTATACTGACTTCATAGACATGAGTGTCGCTGTCAAGGTAGGTGAACTTCTTGACGAGGTCAACATTCTTTCCGCAGAACGACACACTGTTGATGGCTGTGCCTAAGAGATTATTAAAGGCCTGGATCTTGGTTTTTATCCTGAACACTCGCAAGCCCATGCACTCAGGCTCCTCGCTGAGTCTCTCAAGAGCCGCACTCAGAGCCACCATGGTCTCTGTAAAGCTCACAGTATCATCGGCAAAGTCAGGATAAGTGAATCTTTCTTCACCGGCAGATGCCCCACAGCCACTGGACCACATGACCCTGCCCAACACCCAGTTCATGCAAGCATGAAACAGAGTAGGAGCAAAAACACACCCCTGATGAACCCAAGAATCAACTGGGAAGAACAGTAAGGTTCTGCTACCACTCATCCCAGAACTCACAGTACCAGTGTACAGGTCAGCTATGACATCCAGCAACTTTGGGGGCAGCTGGAACAACTGAGTCATACGCTTTATGAAAATTGATAAAGGCGGCAAAGAAACTCTGTTGATATTCACGTTTGCACTCAAGGAGAACCTTCAGTGCCAGGATGCGGTTGATGGTAGACTTCTTAGGTGTGAAACCAGACTGCTCCAGTTGCTGGTAGGTGAGCAATGATGACAGATCCTATTCAGGATGACCTTAACAACGACCTTACCTGGCACTGAGAGCAGTATTATCCCCCTGTAGTTGCCACAATCCAGGCGATCACCCTTCACTTTCCACATAGGGACAAGAAGTTCCGTTTTCCAGTAGGTTGGGATGACACCTGTCTCCCAAATGGAAGCAAAGTCACCTGTGACCAGAGGGCACCCATCAACCACCGAACGATGTTGCGAATAAAATATCTCCTTCATCGAGACATCACTCACCACGGTCAGAACATACATTAAGACAACAAACAAGATACCAAGAGTCTGAGTCCCATAACACGCTCGTTGAAAGGAGTGACATCGGACACCTTCAGGAGGAGCTGATCTATCACAGCAACAGATACTCCCCAAGTATGGCAGCCATCAGAATGACCAGACCAATAATAGGTTTATGCACCGATAGCGATCTGGCCACTCCCCAGTCTGCTTACCTCAGAGAGTGCCGCCACTGAAAGGTGGAGTTTACAAAGCTTCTCCGACAGCAGAGGAAGATAGTCCTCATGCGAGAGACACAAGATATTCCACGCGCCTACCCAGATGGGCCGCCTCAGATTAGGACCCCAGTGCTGCTGTGAAGCTGGTGATGCCTCAGCACCACACCAGTTCTGATCCCATTTGGTCTCCAGTGGTTTCCACTCCAGGGATGAGGCTCCCGGGGGCTTCCCCCCATCCCCCTCAAGATGCCTGCAGCCTTTCTGTGGGTGGCTGCAGCAGAGCTACTTCCACAGAGAGCAAAAGAGTCCTGTCTGCTTCATCGGGGCTGTATGAAGTTTTATGGTGGCTGGAGTGCTTGCAGGGCCGGATGCAGTTTAACGTCATACCTCTTTTTTTGTCTTTTACTTTTTGGATAATGTATCCTTTTGTTTACAATTCCAGCTTTCTTGTTTGCACTGCTGACTTTTGCATTTGCACCGACTGATTTCTTGCTTGCAGCTCTAACACAAACCCCTCGTTTGGATGGTTTTTTTCAGGGGTGCATCCCCAATGGCTACCAAGTTTTTTTGTGACAGTGCAGTGCCCCAGACCCTGTTTAGTGTGATTTTGACGGACATGAATGTCCTAAACAGTGGGACTGGGCATTTCCTCGATACCTACAAGATTAATAAAGTTTTGATCACATATGTTGTCTGTATTGTATTAGACATTTTGTTAAGGCAGTTTATTGCAATTTACGTCACACCGTAGCGCCCACAGGAAGCAAAGACCATCGTCTGCCATGTTGGTGCATTTCTTGTCTAGTCAAGTTAGTTAGTTGTCACTGCTCTTTTACCGTGTTTGTTACAGTTGGGTGTGCTGTGTTTGTTTCCGTAGGTGACAGTACTGATCTTCATTAACCCTTGAACATCAGCTTAGCTTTTGTTAACATGCTATTGCATCTCATGATCCCCATTCTGTTCATGGTTGTGGCGACTGACATAGCCTAGCAGGAAAACAAGTAATTTTATGCCTTTTGTGGCACATAATTTATAAGCTGATGACATAAAATTCTTTGGTTTTAAATATCTGAAATGGAAACATACCATAAAAGCCATTCGAATCATTTCAAGTTAGGCAAACCAGCTGCTATGTATGACACAGGCAACACTGACTGGCACCAACAGTGATCAAAGGCATCAAGAGAGGAGCACAAAAACAAATGGGTTCTCAGACAGTGCCTGCAGCCAAATAAAAGCCACATATCTGGAGATGCTTGTACTGATACCATGGAGATCCCACTCACAAATGAAGCAGGTATTTTAACAAGTATGTCAAATGTCCTGCTCTGAAGTTCTTACTGAAAGTGCTAGCCTTTAGTTTTGTCTTACACTACGCATTCATTTTATTTTCCATTTTGCCACTGTTGCATTTGATGCCATGGACCAAGAAAACATTTCTCCCCATCCAACACTTTCCCCATGTGCCAAATCCAGGGCAAGTGCAGCTGAGTGGCATCAAGGTCCTCAGAATGGTATTGTACTAGATCAGGGGTGGCCAATCTTATCCGCAAAGGGCTGGTGTGTATGCGGGTTTTCGCTGCAACTCCCTAATTATATTACTAATTAGAGGACTGATTGGCTGAAGAGTCCTCACACCTGAGTTTGAACAGCTGACCTACAGGTTATCCCAAAAACCTGCACACACACCGGCCCTTTGCGGATAAGATTGGTCACCTCTGTACTAGATCAAGGTATGTTGCTCTTTTGTGTCAAAAAATCAGTCACTCTCTGACTTGCAAATAATTGTTTAAATATCTGATGGTTCAGGCTCTTAGGATGTCATCTCCGCTCCAGATTGTCCTGAAACAGGGGTTGGATGCCAAAGTGACATGACTCCATATGATTTGTTAGACATGAAATCATGCATCAGGTCTATGATGTGTGAACTAGGGATCCTCAAGGGTAGGTTCATGGAAAATAATCTTTCAGAAGAGACACAGAGGCTCAAATTGGACAAAATAGCAAGAATATGCTGTTGCCTTGACAAATCTGTCTGAGTCTGTTGTTCCATTTATGTGAGTATATTCTGGAATTTGAAAAATAAAGCAGCAAGTACATATCAAAGCAAATAATGACTGTCTCATTCTTAGTGCCAGTTGGATGTTTGTTTCATGTTGTGCCTTTAAAAATGAGTCAGTGGGAAGTCTCTTTCTTAAATCACAATCACTTTATTCACATGCATCATAGAACTTGGTGAAACAATACAATTCTTGTGCCACAATTGCAGGAGAGGGGACAGATGAATGAGGGGACAAAGAGACAGTGCAAGACAAAGATATGGAGTACAATATGGAGATGTAAGATATGAGTACAATATGAAGAGTAGAACAATAAATGTGTCATAAACACATTTAGCTAGCTTAAGTTTGTGCAGGTCAGACAAAGTGCAAATACCATTAATAAAACTGCAAACAAACATGCAAACCGCAGACACAACTGTGTGAACTTCGTCTTTCTTGACAAGAAACCAGATTCTTGTGGACGTAACGGAGGCTCTCTGGGAGTGGTAGACCTGGTGAGTAATTATAACACAACAGCAAATAAATCAGCCTTGCATTTTACCTGTAAAACACACTTAAGTGCAATCGAACCAGATGATTTTTTGTTAAAACAACGAAAACAGGCACAGCACTGTAACGTTGACGTTACAGCACAGAACAAAGTAATGGCTTAACATTACCACTACATGACGAAATTAAGATAACAATAATATACAATAATAAATGATGAATATAATAACAAGCAGTTTATACTGGTACTTACCGTGAGTACACCAAAATATTTTGTCCACACTTCTTCCTCTTCAGTTATTTTACCCAGCCAGAAATGAAGAAATTATAATTCAGGGTTTTAGTTACCTTCATTTGCTTCACCCAGGACATTTGAAGATCCAAATAATTCAGGATATCCTCATAGCTTAGGTCTTTCACTTTCAATGTGTGTCACATCCAATAATATCAGTTTTTTTTTCTTTATATGTATTGCTTGCATCTGACGGTAGCTGATTCACATACACAGAATACTCCATCACTACGACTAAGAAGTGCACCAAGATGGCGGCTAGAGGCGAAGGGAGGTGATTGTGCTGTTAATTGCAACCCTCCTTATGGGTGACGCCTCTACTGATTTGTTTGCAGAACTAAACAACGTCCGAGGGACTGAGTTGTCACTCAAAAACTTATTATCCAATGGGAACACATTCCTGGAAAAAAACGCCCATGGGAGAGGTTTGTAGCAGAACTACAAGCAAAGACATCTGGCGGCGCAAAAGCAAGTCAGGGAGCGCAAAGGAGAAAGCTGGCAATATAATCGCAAAGCGGGCAGCACAAACGAGAAAGCTGGAATTGGAAACAAAAGGACACATTATCACCAATAATTTGTTTGCAACTTATAAATATTACTTTTGAGATGACTTTTTTCTTTTTTGCTTCAGTGAGTTTTTTTCTCTCTAATTGTTTTTTTTTTTTTTGCTTGATGTTTAAAAAGTTTTCATTTATAATACTGGTATAAATCTGATTGCATAGTTCCCAACCTATTGATGTTCACGGATACCGGCGGAACGAACGGTGATTTCATAACTTTAACCATTTCCGTCTTTTTCAGAAGCTAACAGAACGCGCGAACATGAGGGGTCGTAAAAAACATAACAGGTTTTTTTAAAAAAAATAAAAATAACCAACACCTCCGCAGTGCGCACCCCTGAAAAAAACCGCCCCCACCGTTCCGCTGCCTGGTGGAATCCTGGCGATGGACTTGCAACCTAGCTACTAGTCCACGGATCGGGGATTGATGTCGGTGTAGCGGGATTTTGATTTTATTAACAAAATCGTCTTGCTTTGAATTTTCAGAATGTCACTATAAACCTATGCATAACCACATACATACATTAAATTTACCGATTATACAATGCTAAAATTATATATATAAAGGCATATGCAACGATCACTGCAATTAACAAATGTTTCGGCAATTCAGTCACTATTGTAAACAACATTAATATAAACCACCTCTGAGAATGTCAACGAAACATCTTTTAAACAATGAACGTGTTCCAATATCTATGACATAACATTAATATGCAGTTTTCGATCCACTGGTTATGGTGTGGTATCGCATGGAGGACAAATTCAAATCAACCCCCTGGTTTGCAAGTAACAGTGAAAAAACGACAACGTCACTGGTACTTTCTATTTCAAAGGTTTCCAAGCACAAAAGACCTCTGTCGGGGTATGCACGCAGCTACTGCTATCTACCAAATAAGCTATCTGGTGAACAGCGATAAATATGTATTTCCGATCGAAGCTAAACAAAATGCTGCTTTATAAAGGCCGAGTGGTCAGACTGTGGACTTGTCGTAATTGTTTGCTTCCCGTAAGAACATAATGATCAATTCTCCGCGCACACTGCTTTCCGGGAAAGCCTCGCTGTTCCTATGGGAAAAATCGATTGGTCACTATGGAGACAAAACAAGTGTCCGCTTGACTTCGCTCTTTCCCGAGGGATCGGCCCTCGCAGGATTCCAGAACCATCCAGAAGTTTAGCACAGAGGTCGCTTCCTTACCAAATTTGGGCAAGGAAGTAAATCGTAATACACGCGTGTGACGCAAAGGAACGCGGACACGCCCTGACGTAATTCCTTTCACTCTGCATTCTAGTAGAGAGGCAGGGTTGGGTTATAAAATGATTTACAGGTTTGTGCATTAAGGAATTTTTAAGTAGAACAGCTAAACAAAAACAAACAACTATTGCAAACAAAATTGCGAAATAGTTATTTTTGATTTATGCTTTGTGAAATATATATACGTCCTTTGTGTTGCATGTTCATGTTACGTCTATATATCAGCGGACCCAGAGTGCAAATTGTTTCAAATTAGTGTCTGAAAAATGAGAACGAAATCCAACTGACGGATACATTTTTAATAAGCTGAAGTATCAGCTATAGCAATTTCCGTATACATTAGGTAAAATGCTGTTATTTGCAGAATGCATCTGAATTTTTACATAGACAGATCTATTAGATATATTAGATAGTCAACAGATGGACGATTGATATATATGTTCCTGAATGTCTTGTCACGCTGGCCAACCCAAACAGCATGAGTAATATTCTTATAATGCCAGTTTCCAAACGGTTAAATTTTAATCTCTCTGTGATGTTTTAGAAGTGTATTTACCTATGGACAATCTGAAATTCCCCTTTCCACCAAATGAAATACCTTGCCTTCAAACGTAATTATAGGCACAGACTCTGAAACATTTGTGGCTAATCCTCATTTAACTCCTTTTAAAACATATTTTATATTTTTCACAGAGATGACGTAAAACACAAGAGCCAAATACACTTCAAATATATTTAATGATACTATCCATAGATAAGCAGTCAATGCTTATTTCTCTTTTCTCCATTTGACGAACAAGTGAAAACTTTTAAGGTAGAAAAATAAACTATATCATAAAATACATCTTGATAAATTATAGCACACCACATGTTTTCATGGAAAACTGTAAACGATGATGCAAAATCACAGTTTGAATGACAAAATTGAGGTATGCAGTTACAGTACAGGGATATATACTTATACACACTATATTCATTTTTTACATTAGCATACTATTGCTATCAAAACACAAAACAATACATTTCTTAGCTCCACGATACAGTAAACAATCTAGCACCAAAAAAAAGAACAAATGGACTGTGTAATTCTGAAATGATATGGCACGTTTTTTGCATGCGTTTAATACCAGACCATAGCTAACATTTCAGTCAGGGAAATTAATGTCATGCTTTAGCTACATTAAAATGCATTTGGAAGAAGTTAATACGGGTTCAGTCATAGTAAACATTTCATGAATGCAACCACCAGATCAACCGCTTGGATCACAGCAATGACCTCAGACAATATATCATGCTTAGTGGTGTCAGACTCTGCAGTCATCAATTGCTGTCCAGTTTATCCACTCTAATGCTAAACATTATAAGGCTAAGAGGGTTGGAGAATTGAGAATATCTACTACTGAGTCTGCTTTGCTTGCACCTGCTTTGGGACTAGCCACTCCCTCGTTCAGCAAGTCAAACTCCGGGTAGGTGAATGCGAAAGTTGACAGGTAATTGGTGCATGTGGGGGTGCAAGTCACCACTGGGGTGCTCAGGGCCTCCAGGTCACTGGACACCGACTTGTACAGGGTTTCCCAGTCCGTCACCCCAAGGGAGCTGCTCAAGTCAATGTCCGGAACAGACCGGGCCGTTTCAATGGAGGTCTTCTCTAGGCTGGGGAGCAAGTCATCCAATGGCTCCTCTTTCATGTCTAGCGAAGGTTCCAGGTCGTTGATGTTGACATCAGCACTGGAGCACAGCAGGATGTTGGAGTTCCCTGAGATGGCTGTGGTCGGGAAGCTGGAGGCATCTGTATCCTGAAGCACAGGAACCTCCGGTGCAGTGTCCTCTAAGAACTTGCTGTTTCCCAGATTGGAGAGCAGCTGGGGAGAGCCAATGGGCTCCTGGAAGATGCAATCCAGGTCTTCTGCTATTTTGCAGACTGGTTTATGAGCAGCAAGGATGAGCTCCAGCTTCTCTTTCTCCTTCATGAGATTGGTTATTTCTGACTGAAGGGCTGCTTTTTCTTCTTCTAGCTTATCTGTCTCCTGGAGAAAAGCCAAGCGATAAGGAAAACACATGGATCTTGTTTATAAATGCAGACATTGCTTTGTTCAGTGTGATGCCATTTGACGACCATACGAAGCTCACTTACGGCTTGCAAGGTGTCTGTTAGCTCCCTCCGTCTGTTGCGGCACTTCGCTGCAGCCATCTTATTCCTCTCTCTCCTGATTCTCTTCTTCTCCTCTTCTTCTGGAGAGAGCTGTAGCATTTTGGCCAAAATAAAATGATGCTTACTTTCACAAAAACTCTATCCATCCCAGCTCGTCAACTTCCACAGCCAATAGATCCAACTAAAAAGTCTACCAGTGCATGGTTAGCTGCAATGTGTCTAAAAATAGACCATTGTTGCAGACTCCCCATGACCTGAATATAAATTGGCGGCCTGGGCAAGGCACACCGGTAGAGCTGCGCTGTGCGATGCATGCACAAAAAAACACTGGACTACTGGCAATACCGATTTTTTTTTTTAAGGATAGCAAAAACAGTTACTCGGAACAATGTTTGTTTAATAGGATTTAGCTACGTAGCAGATTGCGTTGAAAATGACGCATTTATTTACCGGCTCATTCTTCCCCTTTCTGCCAGTGGTTGGTCCTTTGCTTCCGCCTGCTTTGGGAGCCGGCTGGTTAGAGCTGCGCACTTTGTATGTCTGCGAGCTACCCAGAGAAGGGGAGACAGATGTGATCATGGTCGGCTGGACCATCCACTGCAAATCCGGGGTGGTTGAAATTGCAGTCACTGTCGGAACAAAGGGAGTGCCGGCAACATCCATATCTGTGCGAAGTTCCTGCAAAAACATCAGATAATTTGTTAAATTGATAGTGCCACATTTTTATCCCGATATTTTGATTAATTGTGCACATTAAAGAGAACTTACGTTGCATTACGCACCGCAAATCACTGTGTAATCTGTATTACAGTTTATGTAGTTTTGACGTATAAATCTCTTATAAAGCAGGTTAAAATACAAAAGACAAAATACTAAAGATTATTAATATTTGCGATATTTATCTGTGGCTGTTCATGTCTTCTGTGTAAGATTTGGTTTGAGTGCAGAATAACAGTGAAAATGATCAAGCCACATTTAACGTTAGAATGTATAAATTCTTCTTACTTTCTATAAATTTGTTAAATAAACCAAAAATAGTGCCCTCCCGATCAATATTGGGCTTTATAATTCTTGCTGACGTCGACACTGACGCAAGACTGCTGTGGAGTCTCCTGAATGATTTCTTTCCCCTCGCTAAGCCTCTGTACAAACATGCAGCCCTTTGAGATCGCAAGAAACAGAAATACACTCTCTGTGTATTTTTAGCTTCTGTCTAAGAGGTACGAGTGGGATATACCTTATTGTGCATTTCATAAACTCTTACAAACACTATTCCAGTGCTGGATGATTAGAATTATTAATATATAATGAAGTAAAAATGATAAACTGCAAAAATACTTCCTATCTTTGAAGCATATAAACATCATCGACAATTCCTTGAGCAAGTAAAATGGTGAAATTTATTATATGTAAAAGTCCTTATAATACTTCACGAATAAATTACACTGCAATGGACGCGTCCTTACACACGACAGAATAACAGCGTTTTTACAAAAGGCTGAACAGCATTTTATGTGCATAGATAATGATATTCAACAGGCATGTGTCATAATCATTTTATGCTGCCCTTAAATTCAGGTGCCAACACTGTACCACAAATAAATACTGTTTTTGTGGTATACGTGAATATGCACAAAAAATCACAAGCAAAGGGCATGCATGATTAAAATAATAAATTTGTACCTGTGTGTTCCGGACTGGAGAAGCAGAGGCACTGGAGAACGAGTCAGCTGGCGACTGCTGGAAGTACGTAAGGGTGTCCCCGACTGGAGATGCGGTACTGCAGCGAGACGAAGAATCGTTGTCGGTGCTTAAGTTTGGAAACATTTTTCGTCTGGAAAGGCGATGGAAATTTAAGGATAATTATCTTGAAATCTTTCGAGAGGCAAGACGACGAATGTTTTCTCGTGAGCTGCTTGCAATTCCTTCCACCAGGTTTATTAACCCGGTAACTGATGGATTAGTTTGCAAGCTCCCCCTTTTATACTGTGCCAGATTTTTATGAATGAAATCTGTGGCTAAGGCGGTACCATTTTCTCATGGTAGGGGGGAGGCAGTACTTGATAAAATAAACACTTTTGTATTATTATTATCAGGACAAAATACGCTAATATCTTTTATCATTAACATAAGAAATGTACGTTTTTAAACTATATTACATTGCAAATTGTAAAAGCCTAAATTCAACATATTATTATATATCCCCCTATTAAAACAAGGAAACTGTGATCATTGTCACGTGAAGCTTGTCAGTTCTGAAATACAGTATTTACAGATGTTTACACCCACGCATCGAACAAAAAAGCCATTTTACAAGAAAACTGACGTTTTCTGATTAGATGTCAAAATACAATGAATTCTCTTTTTCAGTGTATTAAGCAATTATACGCGTATCTAGACGCAGCAATGTCATTGAAATCCGTCAAACGGTCACAGATCAGATATTTTGCCTAAAAATATCTCATTCTCATATTGAAAGCATTCTCTCTGGGAAAAATAAAATTGCTTGTGATTGCAAAGCAACACCGTTGGGTCCTAATCATAAATGTACGACCAGTCATATTCTACAAATACAAGTAATCTGACTGCCATGTTTCTGCTCAGTATATTAATTAATACAAATAGAGGTATGGCAACGGATGCATTGTTTATTTCAGTTACAGGGTTTAATGATTACTGTAGTATATCACGTTTTACTTTTAAATACAAACCAATATAAATTTCACCAACATAGCAACAAAAGATCTCTCCTAAAAAAGTGCGGTGGCATCAAACAGTGTGATGGCTGAGGACGTTTTGTGACGGGAATTTCAATGTTGGCAACAACCGTCCACGCTGTGGCCTTTGTAATGCTCTTTTCATTATCTCATATTGCGTGTGTGATAGCCAGGCAGAACAATTGTCTCCAGCAAATTGCACAGAATGGAGCAGCATAACGTTGGTCAGCCAGCCAATCAAATGAAATGCCCACCATACCATATATGTACATCCTGTTCACTTGGCCTCAAGTTGCCGGGAATTGCATTCGCCAGTTGCCGCAGCAGCTTCTGTGATTTTTTATATGGTGGTCCGAACCGGGAAAGGCAATGTAGAACCGGTAATTAAATCTTGTGTTGTACGGGAACTTTATCAGCACAGGTTTATGTTGTACATTTCACTTTAGTGATTTTACATTATGCATTGTACATGCATATCACGATGCTTTATATGAACTATAAACACACTACAGTATTACGTACATCTAGGCCTACATGAGTCTAGTTGTCAAGTGGCTTTCAAAACAGTGGAATAAAAAAAAACAGTTAATCTTGGATTTTTTTGTAGCCTACACAACAAGACTATTTCAATGGCAGTCAGTAGGCTATTTCTCGGCAGTGACTTGACCTTCACGGCAAGATAATAGTATGTTATTCGTTTACACACAGGCTACAATACGTAACTTAGGACCTCGCGGCATCCGTCTAACAAATTTAAATAAAATATCCTGCATGTGAAAGAAAATGGTTAAAGAACAGTGGAAAATCAACTGATAATACGTTACAAATTTCCATTCACCAACATATTTTCGTCACATATATTATCGTTTTAACCGTCAGAAATGTTTTTAATATTACTTTAAAACTCCCCGACTTAATGCGCGGATAAGGTACTTCAGTTCGTAGCGGTTTCATATGATTCAAGTGTTTAAAATATTATGCATGTTCTAAAAAATATGTCTGCTTTAATGGTTTATTAAACGCCAGATCCATTACATTGAAATAGGCACAAACTTAGCAAGAGACAGCCATTACCACTAGCTATACTGGCCCCGCCTCAAGGATTTACGTTCCGACGCTAATACGTCACATTGCGTCATTAACGCACGGCCTGGGGCGTTACCAAGGTAACGGCTTCTGTTTCGAATAAACACGTTACAGGCAATGGGAAGGGAAACCCTATCCAAATCCGACCCAACCGAGAGAGAAATTTATCTTCGCAACAATCTAAATACATAATAAAAACAGAGTTTTAAACATTTACTCAATGTCTTTACAGAACGGTCACCTTAAAACACCAGTTACCCCAGATAATACAGCTGCATTAATCGATATGATATCCGAATTACGGTCACAACTTTAATTACTTATTAGCTATACTGTATGCAATTTATACAGTTACAGTACGTAACACGATAATGATTTAATATGTAGCGTGATAAACGCTAAAAATGATCACATTGGTAGTCTACATTTCCAATTCCATGGTCAGAGATTTATTTAAATATATGAAAGTTAGAATTAAACCACTGTAGTAATGCAACTGGATGGAATCCTTAGCCTTATGAACTTTCAAGACTTTCAATTGACTTTTCTCTGAAAATTCCCAAGCATAATAAATAAATAAATAAAATGGCAAGCGATCAGAACTGCACAATAGTGGATAATGACCTTGATCAAGCCTATTATTCTGATAGACACACCCACCTGAAAATTCATACCAGGTACCACAGCCTTAGGCTAATGTAGGCTGATTTAAACGTAATTACGTAATTAGTATGAGAGCTGATTTCTGGAATTAACAAAAACGATCATAATCCAAGTTAAGTTAAAATGCACAAAACACTCATTGTAAACAATCATATATATATATATATATAAAATTCTGTGTTTGTATGTGTGTGTGTTTGTCTCAAAGCAGAGCAAACTAGGGGTTCCTATGTATCTGTACTCCCACATGTACAATTGGCAAAAAAAACTAACAAACATAAACAAAACAAAAATAAAAGTACCCGTCACCGCCTTGTTCAAAACATTTTGTTTTTGGCAGCAAGGTCTTTACGCTTCAACCTCTCAGCCAATAACAGAAGACTTGCTTTGCACAGTTCCCATAAGTAATCCGCCCCTTTCACAGGATGCATTCCATATAAGGATAATTACGTATTGGGATCCCCTGTTCGAGAACATACTATATTGCAAAGAGAAGGTAGATGCGGTTTCACAATTTTTGGTACTTTTTACAAAAATACTGGATGTATTAAAATCTTTGTTATACTTTTAGCTTTACCAATAATAAATATTCTTATTTATCTTAAAAGAAAAACAAAATCATTTAAAATAGTTAAGTCTTTTCAGATTTTGTATAATACTCCCCCCTACAAAATATTTGGCTCTTCCGTGAAGAGTCTCTGAGAAAAGTATAAAAGACTCGCAACTGCACCAGTCAACAATTCACTTTCCGCGAGTACGGGGTAAATGAGACGGGACACTTTGCTTCCAATGATCTGAACTGACCGTCTATTTATCGACGAAAGGAAAGGCAAGAATCATCGCTGAAAACTAAACTTTTCTTCAGGACGACATCTACTTTTATATTTTAATGATGTACAACAACTTTGCTCCGGAGTGTGACTCGTCTTCAAGGTGCAGCACAGCTTCTCCAGCCGGTGACAACCTTACATACTATCCATCTCCGGCAGACTCCTATTCAAGCATCGGCTCTCCTATTAATCAAACTCAGGTGAGTTTAACATTTGATTCGGAAATAACTTTTAATTTAACGTATACGACATATACATATAAAACTGCTTTAGAGCTATTATAACGTTGTATATGTACAGTTATCTAGAGAAAATGTCACATATACATTACCATATGACATACTACATTGTTTTTATTGAAATATTGCTTTTCAAGACTGTCTTTGTTTCATTACATTATATTCGGCATAAGTTTCTAGTTGTCATATCAGAATAAAATTTTTCTATATTATTTCTACGAAACTTAGTCAATTCATGTGCATGCTACTGCGACGAGCAGTACAGCACGAACATGAATTAAGTGGCTTGTTTTATTTATGTACAAATGAATTCACAGTAAACTTTAATGACAGAATGCGTACCACCCGGATATAAGCTACTGCATTTTCGGAGCTCAGTCTAGTGTATATACAACTTCATGCATATTTATTAGCTGTGGGTGTAAATTTTATTGACGCCTCCACAACATCTGCAGCATTTCATTTAGCCAATAGTATGAAAGCTCCGCAAAAACTCTGAAAACTTCAATCCCGTCATCTTTTTTACAGGACTTCACTGACCTCTCGGTCGCAAGCGCTTCTTTCATCCCAACTGTCACGGCTGTCTCCACAACTCCGGACTTGCAGTGGATGGTCCAGCCAACTACCCTTATCTCCTCCGTGGCTCCATCACAGACACGAATGCATCCATACGCTACCCAAGATTCGAGCTCAGCCTATCCTAGAATTGGGATGGTTAGGAGCAGTGGACCCAAGCTGCATTCTGGCAGGAGGGGCAAAATTGAACAGGTAAGCACAAATTGCAACGATAAAGCCATCTTTGCATCTTGCTTTATACAAGCTTTGCAAGTACTTCTGGGGGAATTATTTGCAATTTAAACCAGTAAATGTCCAGCTGAGGATTAAATGACAGAAGCAGTCACTTTGAGCTTAAGTTAAATGAATTATTATTTTTTTAGCTTTCTCCTGAGGAGGAAGAGAAAAAGAAAGTCCGGAGAGAGAGGAATAAGATGGCTGCTGCAAAATGCCGCAACAGACGGAGAGAATTGACTGACACACTGCAAGCTGTAAGTAAAACATCTCGAAGATGCTTTTATTTGAGAAAGGTCTGTGTGTACTCTGACTCTTCAATAACTAGTGTTTATTCTGCTACACAGGAAACTGATGTTTTGGAGGATGAGAAATCCATACTGCAATCTGAAATTGCCAACCTAATGAAAGAGAAGGATCGACTGGAGTTTATCCTAGCCGCTCACAGGCCTGCCTGCAAGATCCCATCTGACCTGGACGTGGGCTTTCCCGAGACTTCAGTCTCCCCTGTACACAGCTTCTGTGACAACCTAAATTCCATCACCAGAAATGCCATTTTGACAAGCCAGCCGAAGGAGTCTGTAGTCTCTTCCAAATCTTCCACATTCCTTCCTGGCTCTGAAGCTGAGGTTAGTGGTTCAACAGTCAAGATGTCTGACCTGGACAGCTCACTGGAGGAGTCTCTAGAACTGCTGGAATCGCTGAAGAGGACTGCAGAAGAGACCGTCCGATCTGTGCCAGATATGGACCTTTGCAACTCCTTCTATGCACCAGACTGGGAACCTCTGTACACATCAGCCACACCTGACTTTGAGCCTCTGTGCACCCCAGTAGTGACCTGCACCCCTGCCTGCACAACATACACATCTTCCTTTGTGTTCACCTACCCTGAGGCAGAAGCCACTCCCAACTGTGGTGTGGCCCACAGGAGGGGAAGCAGCAGCAATGATCAATCTTCAGACTCTCTTAATTCCCCCACTCTTCTTGCCCTATGAGGGTAACTCTACAAACTCTCTTTAGACAAACATTTTAGCGTATGAGCACACCAATATCAGGGTAGTGGCATGGACTTTCTGACAGGACACTCATCAACCATACACGCCTCAAGTGTAGCAAAAAGCATGCTAAAACCTACTACTGCTGTCTAAAGCATGTGACATCATGCATTGTAGAAGTATCACATTTAATGGTTTTCAACTTATTGGTGCTAGCTAGATATATTTAATCTACTACTTAAATTGACTAATGTGCTTACTGCAATAGTGATAATCTAATGAGATTAGTCTCTGATTGAAGTAACTATTGTGAACTCGCATTCATAAATGGTGTACTTTGTCTAACCATGGTCTATAAGTGGTCTTAATTGGAGTATGGGATAAGTTTTCTGTGAAAACGTTTGCTGTGTTTACATGTAACTGTTCTGACATTTATATTTTTATTTTTCTAGAGTTTTGAAATGCTTGTCTTAAGCAAAATGTTTGTCAGGTATAAGAAATAAATAAGTCTGAAAAACATCTTGTGCTAATGTTCTTCCTATAGCTTCTTATAATTCGCACGTACTTCCCACTGCAGGAAAAAAAAAAAAAAAGGGCAAATAATAGCGGTTACTTAGCACAGTAACTCTGCATTCAAAGTGTTGAGGCTGTGTTGAATTCAGACATTAGCCTTTAGTTTTGCATTAGCATCTGGTTCATTTTAGATAAGTAGGAAAACTAAAAGTGTAACACTAAATTAAAACTGTCAAAAAAGCCGTGGACAAAAATAAGATAATCCGACAACGATCCTCACAACCTGACTGTTTGTTGTTCCGTCTCCGAGGTTTACGGAAAACGTCAGTACGTTCTAGCATGCGTGCGTGTGTCTTTTTTTATGTAACTCGTCAACGCTAGCGCCATGACGTCAGTTTCCGTGACCAAATATAGACATGTCTTTCAACGGTGGAAATTTTTAGAAATATGACACGTTTTTACGTAGCCTGCGCACTGTAGGGTAAGCAAATAGTAGGCACTGTTTCCATGGCAATCGCAAGTTGTTGCAGGTTACTATGCAACCGAGGTTATCGGAGCTATTTTATATAAAAAGGAAGCGTTTCAAATCAGTCAAATTGGCAGCATAGAGACATTTAATCTTGTTTTCTTTAAGCCGTAGCAGCAAAGCTCCATATGAGATAATTGTGAACCGATTGTGAATTAAACGAAGATACTAAAGCATTGGGAAGCAACAGCGTATTTAAAATGCCTTTGCACGTTAGCAACGATAGGGTGCAACAGGTATCGTTAAATTATTCTCCTCCAAGATATAGTTAACGTTTAAGTTTTTTGTGGTTATTATTTTTTCCTTAACGAGCCTAACTTTTGGACATCGAGGCAGAAAATGTTCACTGCAGGCGCAATAAAACGATTCGAACATCCTAGCTGTCACAACTAGTGCAGGTTTAGGCTCACTTAGAAGACGCATTTAATTGATTTAGGTGTCAATAGATTATATATCAGTATCTGAATACTGATTTGTACTCGCAAATCGGCCGTCCACATATAAATCACCCAAGCAGTAGACTGACAGTTAGCTAAGCAGTTACTGGAAACGTACTGGGTGGGTCACGTTACATAAGCCGTCTTTCTACGTAGCAGCTGTGACTTGGGCGTGGGAGAGACTGTCTGCCTAGCATACTAGTGCCGCGGTTGTTCATATTAAAACCAGCGATCGTCATTGTCCACGGTCGTGGACCTTAATGCTGATTACATTGCACATCCTGCTAGGGACTGGCACTGTATACGAACAACCTACTGCAGTTGCATTACATGGGATACTGCAGTAAGGTTTTTTTCCTTTCTTTTATATGCACGGCTTGGTATAATTCAGGATATTTATGTTTCAGTGCAGTGCTTTTGCTGGGAAACTATTAAAGTCTCACAGAAATACAGAAATCAATGTCTCAGTCTGTATTTGCAATTTTCAGTAGGTGCATACTTGTAGTAATGCATTATTTCACACTAAGGGGGAAAGAGGGAGCGTCAGTCACCTGGAGGCTGGTGTTCCAAGTCCCAATGACATTTTAACTCCTAAGCACTTTACTGGACCTCTAAATTAATTGCATTATGAATGACTGTAAATAAAATTGTCAGCTGAGGAAATAAATGCATACACACACATCTTTGATAATAAATGGAGTAATAATTTGTGCTGTGATTCACAGCGCAATACTTTGTTCCTTTCCTGTCACATTTTCTTACACAATGTAATTCATGTTCTTTATGAAATTAGGCCATCAGTATAGCACTTTAAAATACAGCTGCATGCAACATGAAAATTGAAATGAAACGATATTGTAAATCAGGGCTATTCAAATCAGAATCAGTAATTATTAAACTTACTAAGTGGGAGAACTGAAAGCATTTGGAATCGAGGGCCAGATTTGAATATCCCTGCTGTAAATCATGTGTACATCTGGGAAATAAGTCTGAAGTGTGACCTAGACTAAACAGGTTCGATAAGTGGGGGACATGCTGCCCATGATCATCGTGATCCTGTCTGTGATGTTGACCTTGACTCCTTGGAAACCATTGTTTTGTACTTTTTTGAGGTATGTGCTATAATGGTACTTCAAAAGCACTCAAAAATGTGTTGAAAATCAAAGGTAGAAGTAGAACAAGCTTCATTTAGAAAAAATTTCAAAGAAAGATACTCGTCTAGTTTTAATGAAAGCTTGGGTCATGACACGTAACATGCTGTGTTTTTCTATGACAGCCTCATCGCACGATGGCTTTTAAGTCCTTAGCATGACATTTTTCTTCATCATCGTCAGGCTGTATGTTCCTCTCAGTCTAAAGGACAACAAGGAGCAGCAATGCTGTGAAAGATGTTTTGGATGTAACAGCAGCAACCTTCAGTCATCACACTTTGAGAAATATGATATCCTTGCACAAAATGGACCATGATCCTAATCATGGATGACCTTCAGGTCATTGCTAATCAGTAAGACTATTTTCCCCAATAGAATCCTAAAATAATGAATAACGGCAATATGTGTTGACAAAATGACACAGTAATTGCTTAATACATCTTTTGCAAAAGGAAGGAACTTTATTGTTTAGGCAAGTGCTGCCGGATGCTGCAAATGCTTGATCCATTCACAAAAATCAGCACCGATCCAAAATGGTGCCCCACAGAAAAGCCGTGCAGCAGATAATCACGTAATAACTCCATCTATTAATACCACCTGCCAGCCCCTGGGTGATAGAGAGGTAGCAGAAAATAGCAGGTGCCTGTGCTTTCTTTTAACATCAGCATCAACAGCAGTAAAATTAGAACACTGTGACGCCAGCCTACGTCTGCACTCAGACCCAGGGGAAGAGGCAGGCGCTGCCTAACTGAGGGGGGAGTGGAGAAGAATGGTGGCCTGCAGGTTAGGGGGAAGATGGAGAGCTGATTATCTTCTTTAGACTTACAGGATGATATTTTTCTTTTAGAGGGAGGTCATGTGCTTTTTATTTAGTACTATTTTATTTTTTGTTTCCCCTACATTAAAACCAGCAGTCTAGGCTATTTGACAGAAATTTCTGATTGGCTCTTGGGAAATATGATTAATAACTGTGAAAATGGCCAGCAGAGGTGATGGAACATTCATAACCTATGGCAAAGATTATGTCAGCATGCCTTTGTCCTCATTTGCCAGCATAAATAAACATTTTAACGTTTTTGAAAATCTGTTGTTGCCGATAAGGATTGCTTTGAGTGATGTAGAATTGTGATTTTAACACAAGAAAGCACACAAAATATTAGCACAGCTTGGTCAAAGGAATGCCTGCTGCATTTGTAAACACTACATTGTATTAGGTAGCTGTTTGGGGACACTGCCCATACAGATGTCTAAAGTTATAAACCGGTCAAAATAAAAATTATTGCCAAAAACAACATTATAGTAGTATTTCTAGTTGAAGAGCTCTAGAAAAAGCTTAGAAACTAATTCTCTTTAGAGGTTAATCAGAGACACATGGTTATGTGAACTAGTGAGACTGGAGAATTCACGTAATGTGCATGACAGCGAAAGACCGCACATTTGGCAGTCTGAGTTTGTGCTACTGGATGTAATTTTGCCTCACACCGAGGTCCTCTGGAGGGCTGTTTCCTTGGCAACTGGACAGCTCCGCTTAATGTAGATAGGTAATCCCTGCCCTGGTGACAATCGAATAATAGTGTGTTTTGGTACCTAAAAATAGACCTATTAGCAACATTGTCCAATTACAGAGTAACAAAAAAAAACGGAGTTAAACCCACTCCACAAAATATTTACACCTGTAGTTTTTCCAGTTTACTGCCTTAACCCCCCCCAAAAAAAAGTCTTGATTGCTTGTTACAGTTTCAAGCTGTGTCCGACATGGGACTGATATAAAGACATGCAGTAGGATACCTGCTATACCTGGAAAAGATTCCTTTAATGGCCAAAAACTACATTACATAACCACAGATCCCATGATGCACCATTCCCTGATTCCAATTTATGCGGCTGTCAAAGGGGATCTAATTGTTTTTTGCATGTATAACACGTGTAAATTTGGAGAGCAGTCCACGGCCATTTGCATTTCCCTACCATAACACCCATTAAGCAACATTAAGTCTGTGTTATCCCCCCCTTGACCATTTCACAAAGTAAAAGTTCATTCTAGCAGTAAGTGCGTTGAATGGGAACAACTGCCATTCATAGTAATGATAGGAGCAGCGAATAAATAGCCGACATCGCACGGACGACCTGACTCCGGTGAGGGTAGCTGCGCTTCTCCTCCGCGTCAGGGACAGCGCTCTAGCTCGGCGGCTCGGCTCTACCCAAGAGCCTCCGCTCGGCATAACTACCGCCCGCTACCGCGTCCGGCTCTCGGCAGCCATGTCTCGGGTTTACGCGATATTCCTCATCCCGTTTCTCCTCGGGTCGGCCCTGTCGATCTCCTTCTTTTTACCCGTCAATTCTCGCAAATGTCTGCGGGAGGAGATCCACAAAGACGTGCTAGTTACGGGGGAGTACGAGGTTGGCGAGCAGTCCAGCACAAAGACCAACCTAAAGGTGAGCGCGCACCGCGGACGCGCAGGGAAACCTCCACGACAGCCGCTCCGTTTTACAAAAGACGCATCAGTCTTTACATGTAATTAATATCATTTAAGGGATCACCCATCGATTAAGTCAGTAAAACGAAGTAGTTAATTATACAAACAGAAACGAATGCATTCTTTCTATTTGGCTTCCTGCTTTCCTGGTTGCCTTCAATCGGTATTATATAGGTATAATTATAGAAATCGCATCTGTACTCGGTTGTTTAAGAAATCGGCTGATCTGTATCTTCGTTTAGTTTAATATTAATTTCGAATTGCTACCGTCTCTTCGCGGATGTTTTGTGTTTCTGCAGCCTGTAATTGAGATATGTACACGTCACTCTAAACCCCGTGTCGCTCCTGACGCGGAAACGCGAGCTGCGGCGTAATGTGCATCAAGTCTGATCGGCCGCCCAAATACCCCCTCCAG